ACACAGATCAACCACAGGTCTGACACCTTAGTTCTATAGATATAGACCATATAGATCAACCACGGGTCTGAAACCTTAGTTCTATAAGTATAGAACACAGATCAACCACAGGTCTGACACCTTAGTTATATAGATATAGACCATATAGATCAACCACAGGTCTGACACCTTAGTTATATAGATATAGACCATATAGATCAACCACAGGTCTGACACCTTAGTTATATAGATATAGACCATATAGATCAACAACGGGTCTGAAACTTTAGTTCTATAAATATAGACCATATAGATCAACCATGGGTCTGACACCTTAGTTATATAAATATAGACCATATAGATCAACAATGGGTCTGAAACCTTAGTTATATAAATATAGACCATATAGATCAACCATGGGTCTGACACCTTAGTTATATAAATATAGACCATATAGATCAACCACGGGTCTGAAACCTTAGATATTCACCACACAGATCAACCACAGGTCTGACACCTTAGTTATATAAATATAGACCATATAGATCAACCACGGGTCTGAAACCTTAGATATTCACCACACAGATCAACCACAGGTCTGACACCTTAGTTATATAAATATAGACCATATAGATCAACCATGGGTCTGACACCTTAGTTATATAAATATAGACCATATAGATCAACCACAGGTCTGACACCTTAGTTATATAAATATAGACCATATAGATCAACCACAGGTCTGACACCTTAGTTCTATAAATATAGACCATATAGATCAACCACAGGTCTGACACCTTAGTTCTATAAATATAGACCATATAGATCAACCATGGGTCTGACACCTTAGTTATATAAATATAGACCATATAGATCAACCACAGATCAACCACAGTCTGACACCTTAGTTATATATATAGACCATATAGATCAACCATTAGTAAGTATAGAACACAGATCAACCATTGGTCTGACACCTTAGTTATATAAATATAGACCATATAGATCAACTACAGGTCTGAAACCTTAGTTCTATAAATATAGAACACAGATCAACCACAGGTCTGACACCTTAGTTCTATAAATATAGAACACAGATCAACCACAGGTCTGACACCTTAGTTCTATAAATATAGACCATATAGATCAACCACGGGTCTGAAACCTTAGTTCTATAAATATAACACAGATAACCACAGGTCTGACACCTTAGTATAGACCATATAGATCAACAACGGGTCTGAAACCTTAGTTATAAATATAGAACACATAGATCAACCACAGGTCTATTATATAAATATAGACCATATAGATCAACCACGGGTCTGAAACCTTAGTTCTATAAGTATAGAACACAGATCAACCACAGGTCTGACACCTTAGTTCTATAGATATAGACCATATAGATCAACCACGGGTCTGAAACCTTAGTTCTATAAGTATAGAACACAGATCAACCACAGGTCTGACACCTTAGTTATATAAATATAGACCATATAGATCAACCATGGGTCTGAAACCTTAGTTATATAAATATAGACCATATAGATCAACCACGGGTCTGACACCTTAGTTATATAAATATAGACCATATAGATCAACCACGGGTCTGAAACCTTAGTTATATAAATATAGACCATATAGATCAACCACAAATCTGACACCTTAGTTCTATAAATATACATCATATAAATCAACCACAGGTCTGAAACCTTAGTTCTATAGATATAGACTTCTTGGGTTAACTGCAAGTCTTACAATTAGCTTTGTAAATGCCATATAGACCATGTCGGCCCTAAATCAAGAACATTTTTTACTCTATGGTCATTAATATTTGCAGAGGATATAATCTTGCTATATTCACAATCAATAAACATGAAAACATCTCTGACCTATTTACATGGATGCCAGCTGATTGGTATGTGTTTTTAACTTTGTTGTCCATGAACTAGCCCACTCTGGAACAATGTTGAATTATTAGTGCTGTGAAATTTAACTCCTGTGTTGTATACAAACCAGTTCAGTGATCAGAAATACATATAGGATCAAAATTCTAGCTTAAAAACTGGTGTCTTCAAGTGTAACAAGCAACATTCCAGGAACTTTTTCAGTACCAAATGCAACACTGCTGAACATGAAGCGTCTGCTGTTAGGCCCACATACTTTGGTCCTTAAAATTATAATGCATTAAAAAGAATCTAATAAATGTGGAATCAAAACATTTTCTTTTTCTTGCCTTGTTGGATAGATAGAGTTTGTCCATGTAAGAAAACTCTTTTATCTTACAGCATTTCAAACACAGGGTAATTTGCATCCAAGGGGAGGCAACTTTTACAACGTCTACTGTATATGTGTTTACTTGGTAGCAGTTACAAATGACAGACCATAAAAGACAGATAGTATTTGTGTGACTTCTGTGGACTGTAAATTTGACTATGTGATTAGAGTAAGGACCAAAAAAAGCTTATTTATCTAGTTGTCATATGACAGCATCCAAAATATCCTTGATAGAAAAGGTTGATTGATAATCATGTCCCTGTTACTGGGATGTCACAAAAACACACAATCTTTGAAATAAAATAGTTTTAAGGTATTCCAAATAACTGGCAAACAAATGATTTAAAACATACAAATTATATATTGTCAAACACTGAAAATACCTCAATAGTTTTGTCTGTATAAGAAAATCACGTGGCTCCTGGTCAAGGTCATTGGTTGGAATACATGTGGAACTTATGACAGTAATTTTTAAGGTTGTTTAATGTTTGTCCAAAACACCATTTTCAAAATTGTGATGAGTTTCAATGCAAAGCTATAAGGTGGAAGTCTCAAAATTTTAGTGAGTCCCACAGGAGAAGAATGAGTTGAGGACTCGGATATCTGAGTCCCCTAAAACTACTGATATTATATACCACTGTGTTGACCTTCATCATTCCAACATTTAAACATGATTTACTCACATAATCACTTAGATGTAACAATATGATCTGACACTGGTGTTTAATTCCTGTTTGTCTTTTCACATGTGTACATGAACAATCGTCAAATAAAACATCATCAAACCTTTCAACACTGAAACATTGTTGCTTTATGGTGATCAAAAATGACAGTAACACTGAACAGCCTTTTTCTGGTGGAATTCCAATGCTAGTCATGATGTCACACTAGTATTTTGAGACAGAGACTGCACAATGATGTCACACAAATATTTTGAGACAGAGATTGCATAATGATGTCACACAAGTATTTTGAGACAGAGACTGCACAATGATGTCACACAAGTATTTTGAGACAGAGACTGCACAATGATGTCACACAAGTATTTTGAGACAGAGACTGCACAATGATGTCACACTAGTATTTTGAGACAGAGACTGCACAATGATGTCACACAAGTATTTTGAGACAGAGACTGCACAATGATGTCACACAAGTATTTTGAGACAGAGACTGCACAATGATGTCACACTAGTATTTTGAGACAGAGACTGCATAATGATGTCACACAAGTATTTTGAGACAGAGACTGCACAATGATGTCACACAAGTATTTTGAGACAGAGACTGCACAATGATGTCACACAAGTATTTTGAGACAGAGACTGCACAATGATGTCACACAAATATTTTGAGACAGAGACTGCACAATGATGTCACACTAATATTTTGAGACAGAGACTGCACAATGATGTCACACAAATATTTTGAGACAGAGACTGCACAATGATGTCACACAAGTATTTTGAGACAGAGACTGCACAATGATGTCACACAAGTATTTTGAGACAGAGACTGCACAATGATGTCACAAATATTTTGAGACAGAGACTGCACAATGATGTCACACTAGTATTTTGAGACAGACTGCACAATGATGTCACACTAATATTTTGAGACAGAGACTGCACAATGATGTCACACAAGTATTTTGAGACAGAGACTGCACAATGATGTCACACAAGTATTTTGAGACAGAGACTGCACAATGATGTCACACTAATATTTTGAGACAGAGACTGCACAATGATGTCACACAAGTATTTTGAGACAGAGACTGCACAATGATGTCACACAAGTATTTTGAGACAGAGACTGCACAATGATGTCACACTAATATTTTGAGACAGAGATTGCACAATGATGTCACACAAGTATTTTGAGACAGAGATTGCACAATGATGTCACACTTATATTTTGAGACAGAGATTGCACAATGATGTCACACTAATATTTTGAGACAGAGATTGCACAATGATGTCACACAAATATTTTGAGACAGAGACCGCACAATGATGTCACACAAGTATTTTGAGACAGAGACTGCACAATGATGTCACACAAGTATTTTGAGACAGAGACTGCACAATGATGTCACACAAGTATTTTGAGACAGAGATTGCACAATGATGTCACACAAGTATTTTGAGACAGAGATTGCACAATGATTACATGTTGATTTGGACAACTCTGTCTTAAATTGAATTGAGTTTTCAGTGTGATGCTAGTGGAACAGCTATTTATTTTGTAACTATTTATATAACATACATTTTGATAGCACACGGCAAATGTCTGTTGATCGTAACTTTGTTTGCTTATCACTGCATTTTACATTTATTCAGTAATGTAGCAAAAACAGATTGAAATTTGTGGGCAAACTTTTCAAGTTTGCATAAAATAGGTATGATCTTTAACAATATAGCATGCTTATTTATTTATTCATTTTTTAAAATGAAGAAAAATGGATGAATAAGAAATATTTTTATCAGATTTTTCAAAATGATTAAAGAGAAAAAGACCATTATGTGTATAGGATAGTGATGTTCCACCCTCAGGGCCATAAACTGTGGTCAAACACCAGGCAGAGCCTTGGATTTTACTATTTATTGTGATCCTCGGGTAGGATATCATTCTCTTACTTACATACTTGTGAAAAGTCCTACATTCTAAGGACAAAGAACAGATAGAGATGTATGAAATGAAAGTTTGACTGGTCTATGGGCCATTTGTAATTTCAGTCTACCGCTGTGGTGATGGGACCCAGATGAGTTCCCCATTGGACTTCATGTCTAAGAGAACTGACCCTGACTGGAGTCCTTCTATAGCTCTCTTTGGGGACATGGGTAAAACTAACGCCCAGTCACTTACCAGACTGGAGAAGGATGTGCAGAAGAACATGTACGATGCCATTTTCCATGTGGGTAAGCAATGAGAAACATAATCATTGTGTAACATTATTGTTGTAACATTACAAAAACTAAAAGCTGCAGGGTCACAGTGTTTGGCCAGTGTGTGGTATGCTTGGAAAATGGTTTTCAATTTTCCCAAAAATTACTTTTATAAGCTGTAGAACAAATCACCAATAGAGACCCGTATGATTTTCTATTCATGAGTGTAAATTAGCTTAATTGATATAAATGAAAATCAGTTATTTCTACACTTTGAATTGTTATAATTAAAGCTGTTAGATACAATATGGGTAGTTAGTAGCGATAATCTCTTAATTTCTGTCATCTTTGTTCACTGTTACTGGATGTGTAAAGGTAGTTTAGTTTTAACTGCTTGGAGCTGTACCTGAAGTAAGAAATTTCAGTGTTACAGAATGCTATCCGTTTTATACCAATATTATACCTGTACAGCAAAGGACACTACACAGGTAAAGAAAACAAGCACTGCTCATGGAAATGGCTTTGTGGGTATTCAGATTTACTTCTGATTATTTCCTAGTAAACTGATAACTGAACAATTTGGTGTTAAGTTTAGGTTGGATTTAAGAATCTTGTACTGTTTATATTAACAAAGTTCTGTTTGTGTGTTTCCAGGGGACTTTGCCTACGATATGGACTCAGTAAGTCACCAGATTTTCTAATCTTTTTTATCATGGACAGTATACGTGTATGACCTCTATAAGAACCCCTCCACTGGTGTGACTTTGTAGTATACACCATGTTACTACATCATCCTCTCAGGATCTTATTTAAAGGGTTTTATATTCTCTATTATCAGCAGACAAGCAACACAGCTCTTGACACATCATCCAGAGTTTGTATCGGTTAACATTCGAGAATATGACGTCTCTGCTCTAACAGCTTTATTTTAGATCTGATTGTTGAAAACTTCTCACATATACCCACATTGTTAAGTTTTGACTAGTGTGCATGTTAACCTCCTAGTAAGCTGAAAGTAAGGTCACTGTTTCTTTCAGTAAAATTTGCAACATCCTTCATGTAAAGAATTATAAATAAAACCAAAGTTACGTTTGTTAGATAATTGTTTGAGATAAGTAATGTATATAACAAACAGAGGTACATCCATGAGGTTTGTTCAGTACAGTTCCCTAAAGTCTGTTTCAGTTTTGGACACAAGTCAATTTGTTCTTTCTTGTCATATGTGTTTTTTATTTATAGGATAACGGTAATGTCGGTGACAGCTTTATGAGAAATATTCAGCCAATTGCAGGGCATGTACCGTACATGACATGTCCTGGTAACCACGAGGAGAGAGGGTAGGTGATAACATTGACCTGAGAAGGACAGAGTGTAGGTGATAATATTGACCTGAGGAGGAGAGAGTGTAGGTGATAACATTGACCTGAGAAGGACAGAGTGTAGGTGATAACATTGACCTGAGGAGGAGAGAGTGTGGGTGATAATATTGACCTGAAGAGGAGAGAGTGAAGGTGATAATATTGATCTGAGGAGGAGAGAGGGTAGGTGATAACATTGACTTCAGGAGGAGAGAGTGAAGGTGATAATGTTGACCTGAGGAGGAGAGAGTGTAGGTGATAATATTGACTTAAGGAGGAGAGAGTGTAGGTGATAACATTGATCTGAGGAGGAGAGAGTGTGGGTGATAACATTGACTTCAGGAGGAGAGAGTGAAGGTGATAATATTGACTTAAGGAGGAGAGAGTGTGGGTGATAAGATTGACTTAAGGAGGAGAGAGTGTGGGTGATAATATTGACTTAAGGAGGAGAGAGTGTGGGTGATAACATTGACATGTAGAGAGTGTAGGTGATAACAATGACATGTAGAGAGCGTAGGTGATAACATTGACCTGAGGAGGAGAGAGTGTGGGTGATAACATTGACCTGAGGAGGAGAGAGTGTGGGTGATAACATTGACCTGAGGAGGAGAGAGTGTGGGTTATAACATTGACCTGAGGAGGAGAGAGTGTGGGTGATAACATTGACCTGAGGAGGAGAGAGTGTGGGTGATAACATTGACCTGAGGAGGAGAGAGTGTGGGTGATAACATTGACCTGAGGAGGAGAGAGTGTGGGTGATAACATTGACCTGAGGAGGAGAGAGTGAAGGTGATAATATTGACCTGAGGAGGAGAGAGTGTGGGTGATAACATTGACCTGAGGAGGAGAGAGTGTGGGTGATAACATTGACCTGAGGAGGAGAGAGTGTGGGTGATAACATTGACCTGAGGAGGAGAGAGTGTAGGTGATAACATTGACCTGAGGAGAAGAGAGTGTGGGTGATAACATTGACCTGAGGAGGAGAGAGTGTGGGTGATAACATTGACCTGAGGAGGAGAGAGTGTGAGTGATAACATTGACCTGAGGAGGAGAGAGTGTGAGTGATAACATTGACCTGAGGAGGAGAGAGTGTGGGTGATAACATTGACCTGAGGAGGAGAGAGTGTGGGTGATAACATTGACCTGAGGAGGAGAGAGTGTAGGTGATAACATTGACCTGAGGAGGATTTGAAAATCTTCTGCTGTACACTTTTAGATGACTATACATAGGTTTTTGTTACCTAAGACTGTCCTGGATATCATTTTGTTAAATTACAAGAACCACATAGGTTTACCTATGAATTCTGTGAAGCAAGATATACCAAGAGCCATCAGTTAAATCCCAGAAATGTCTTGTTTTATAGTGATAAATCTGTGATGAATATGTTTTAAAACAGATTTTAATTTTAATGTTTTAGAAACTTTTCAAACTACAAGAACCGATTCACCATGCCTACAGATGAGCTTGGTGACAGAATGTTTTACAGGTAAGACAGTATGGGGAGGAATACAACATGTAACTTTTCTATTATATCTCTTGATCAAGTTTTATATAAGTTAATTAATGGTCATATTCACTTTACTTTTAAGAGTTTGTTATTTAGTTTGTTTTATTGTAAATACACTTTCAGAATGATTTAGATATAATCAAAATGATGTAAGTACACATAATGATATGAAGTATTAAAGCTCAGTTACTTTTTATTTATTACAGTTTTGACATGGGTCCCATACATGTGATATCATTTTCTACGGAGTACCTGTTTTTCCTGCAGTTTGGTTTCGACCAAATCATCAACCAATATAACTGGCTTGTACAGGATTTAGAGGTAACAGTTACTAACTGTCAGTCTGGTACAGGATCTAGAGGTAACAGTTACTAACTGTCAGTCTGGTACAGGATCTAGAGGTAACAGTTACTAACTGTCAGTCTGGTACAGGATCTAGAGGTAACAGTTACCAACTGTCAGTCTGGTACAGGATCTAGAGGTAACAGTTACCAACTGTCAGTCTGGTACAGGATCTAGAGGTAACAGTTACTTACTGTCAGTCTGGTACAGGATCTAGAGGTAACAGTTACCAACTGTCAGTCTGGTACAGGATCTAGAGGTAACAGTTACCAACTGTCAGTCTGGTACAGGATCTAGAGGTAACAGTTACCAACTGTCAGTCTGGTACAGGATCTAGAGGTAACAGTTACCAACTGTGTCTAGAGGTAACAGTTACTAACTGTCAGGTAACAGTTACCAACTGTCAGTCTGGTACAGGATCTAGAGGTAACAGTTACTAACTGTCAGTCTGGTACAGGATCTAGAGGTAACAGTTACCAACTGTCAGTCTGGTACAGGATCTAGAGGTAACAGTTACTAACTGTCAGTCTGGTACAGGATCCAACAGTTACCAACTGTCAGTCTGGTACAGGATCTAGAGGTAACAGTTACTAACTGTCAGTCTGGTACAGGATCTAGAGGTAACAGTTACCAACTGTCAGTCTGGTACAGGATCTAGAGGTAACAGTTACCAACTGTCAGTTGGTATAGGATCTAGAGGTAACAGTTACTAACTGTCAGTCTGGTACAGGATCTAGAGGTAACAGTTACCAACTGTCAGTCTGGTACAGGATCTAGAGGTAACAGTTACCAACTGTCAGTCTGGTACAGGATCTAGAGGTAACAGTTACCAACTGTCAGTCTGGTACAGGATCTTACCAACTGTCAGGTAACAGTTACCAACTGTCAACTGTCTGGTACAGGATCTAGAGGTAACAGTTACCAACTGTCAGTCTGGTACAGGATCTAGAGGTAACAGTTACCAACTGTCAGTCTGGTACAGGATCTAGAGGTAACAGTTACCAACTGTCAGTCTGGTACAGGATCCAACAGTTACCAACTGTCAGTCTGGTACAGGATCCAACAGTTACCAACTGTCAGTCTGGTACAGGATCTAGAGGTAACAGTTACCAACTGTCAGTCTGGTACAGGATCTAGAGGTAACAGTTACCAACTGTCAGTCTGGTACAGGATCTAGAGGTAACAGTTACCAACTGTCAGTCTGGTACAGGATCTAGAGGTAACAGTTACTAACTGTCAGTCTGGTACAGGATCTAGAGGTAACAGTTACCAACTGTCAGTCTGGTACAGGATCCAACAGTTACCAACTGTCAGTCTGGTACAGGATCTAGAGGTAACAGTTACCAACTGTCAGTCTGGTACAGGATCCAACAGTTACCAACTGTCAGTCTGGTACAGGATCCAACAGTTACCAACTGTCAGTCTGGTACAGGATCCAACAGTTACCAACTGTCAGTCTGGTACAGGATCCAACAGTTACCAACCTTTTCTTTGGAGATAGTTCTCGTCCTTGTCATCATGATGACTTTTTGTGGGAAACATCTTTTGGGTGGAGCAAACTTGTATGACTCTATCTAGGCAGGAAGGGTAAGAAGGACCAAAAAGAGGAAAACTTAAATTTACTACAAAATAGTACTTATAACCTGTATCTTGCAATCCTTGCTCATTGATTGATATTAAAATATCTTTCCAACTATGTTTTAAATTGTGTCAAATAAAACATTACCATGAAAATTACGATTTTTACAGAAAGCTGCAAAGAATCGAGACAAAACACCCTGGATCATAACAATGGCACACAGACCAATGTACTGTAGTAACAGAGACAATGATGACTGTACTCACTATGAAAGTCTGGTAAGGACACCATAGCTGTCTAAAAACAAGTCTTGTTGCAATGTCACAGCAATCTGACATATGTACCTAAAGCTCACAGGTCACCTGAGAGTCTCATGGTGACCTGTGGCAATACCCTTTTAATCAGCTTCGTTCATCATCCAGCATCCTTCGGCCCGTTGTTTATCTGTAATTTTTAAAAACATTTTTACTTAGCCCTTGAACCAATTTCAATGAAACTTGGCTAAATGTAAATCAAAATTGTAAATTTTATGGTCCCCACCCCAAAGGAGCATAAGGGGAGGGGCCAAAAATGGTCAAATTGACTGAAATTTCAAAAGTCTTTTCTTCAATAACCAAAATTTGGGGGGAATGAAATACTTTTCATTACCAAAACTGTAAATTCCATGACCCCAGGGTCTGACATTCTCTTCTGAGGAAGAGGTAAACTATAGTTTTTGAGCTGAATTTGTTTTATTTTCTAATGGAAATATATCAAGCTTGGTTAGAATTGTTAGCATACAATGACATTTTGATGTTATTCACAGTATGTCCCTGCCTTACCCCTCGGAGGTGTTATTCACATTATGTCCCTGCCTTACCCCTCGGAGGCGTTATTCCCATTATGTCCCTGCCTTACCCCTCGGAGGTGTTATTCACATTATGTCCCTGCCTTACCCCTCGGAGGTGTTATTCACATTATGTCCCTGCCTTACCCCTCGGATGCGTTATTCACATTATGTCCCTGCCTTACCCCTCGGAGGATTTATTCACATTATGTCACTGCCGTTCCCCTCGGAGGAGTTATTCACATTATGTCCCTGCCTTACCCCTCGGAGGCGTTATTCACATTGTGTCCCTGCCTTACCCCTCGGAGACGTTATTCACATTATGTCCCTGCCTTACCCCTCGGAGGCGTTATTCACATTATGTCCCTGCCTTACCCCTCGGAGGCGTTATTCACATTATGTCCCTGCCTTACCCCTCGGAGGCGTTATTCACATTATGTCCCTGCCTTACCCCTCGGAGACGTTATTCACATTATGTCCCTGCCTTACCCCTCGGAGGCGTTATTCACATTATGTCCCTGCCTTACCCCTCGGAGACGTTATTCACATTATGTCCCTGCCTTACCCCTCGGAGGTCTTATTCACATTGTGTCCCTGCCTTACCCCTCGGAGGCGTTATTCACATTGTGTCCCTGCCTTACCCCTCGGAGGCGTTATTCACATTGTGTCCCTGCCTTACCCCTCGGAGGTCTTATTCACATTGTGTCCCTGCCTTACCCCTCGGAGGTCTTATTCACATTATGTCCTTGCCTAACCCCTCGGAGGCATTATTCACATTATGTCCCTGCCTTACCCCTCGGAGGTGTTATTCACATTGTGTCCCTGCCTTACCCCTCGGAGACGTTATTCACATTATGTCCCTGCCTTACCCCTCGGAGACGTTATTCACATTATGTCCCTGCCTTACCCCTCAGAGGTCTTATTCACATTATGTCCCTGCCTTACCCCTCGGAGACGTTATTCACATTGTGTCCCTGCCTTACCCCTCGGAGGCGTTATTCACATTATGTCCCTGCCTTACCCCTCGGAGACGTTATTCACATTTTGTCCCTGCCTTACCCCTCGGAGGCATTATTCACATTATGTCCCTGCCTTACCCCTCGGAGGCATTATTCACATTGTGTCCCTGCCTTACCCCTCGGAGGTATTATTCACATTATGTCCCTGCCTTACCCCTCGGAGGAGTTATTCACATTATGTCCCTGCCTTACCCCTCGGAGACGTTATTCACATTGTGTCCCTGCCTTACCCCTCGGAGGCATTATTCACATTATGTCCCTGCCTTACCCCTCGGAGGCATTATTCACATTATGTCCCTGCCTTACCCCTGGAAGGCATTATTCACATTGTGTCCCTGCCTTACCCCTCGGAGGTCTTATTCACATTATGTCCCTGCCTTACCCCTCGGAGGTCTTATTCACATTATGTCCCTGCCTTACCCCTCGGAGGTCTTATTCACATTTTGTCCCTGCCTTACTCCTCGGAGACGTTATTCACATTGTGTCCCTGCCTTACCCCTCGGAGGTCTTATTCACATTATGTCCCTGCCTTACCCCTCGGATGCGTTATTCACATTATGTCCCTGCCTTACCCCTCGCAGGCGTTATTCACATTATGTCCCTGCCTTACCCCTCGGAGGTCTTATTCACATTATGTCCCTGCCTTACCCCTCGGAGGCATTATTCACATTATGTCCCTGCCTTACCCCTCGGGCCCCTCGGAGGCATTATTCACATAATGTCCCTGCCTTACCCCTCGGAGGCATTATTCACATTGTGTCCCTGCCTTACCCCTCGGAGGTATTATTCACATTATGTCCCTGCCTTACCCCTCGGAGGAGTTATTCACATTATGTCCCTGCCTTACCCCTCGGAGGTGTTACTCACATTATGTCCCTGCCTTACCCCTCGGAGGCATTACTCACATTTTGTCCCTGCCTTACCCCTCGGAGACGTTATTCACATTTTGTCCCTGCCTTACCCCTCGGAGGCATTATTCACATAATGTCCCTGCCTTACCCCTCGGAGGCATTATTCACATTGTGTCCCTGCCTTACCCCTCGGAGGTATTATTCACATTATGTCCCTGCCTTACCCCTCGGAGGCATTATTCACATTATGTCCCTGCCTTACCCCTCGGAGACGTTATTCACATTGTGTCCCTGCCTTACCCCTCGGAGGTCTTATTCACATTATGTCCCTGCCTTACCCCTCGGAGGCATTATTCACATTATGTCCCTGCCTTACCCCTCGAAGGCGTTATTCACATTGTGTCCCTGCCTTACCCCTCGGAGGTCTTATTCACATTATGTCCCTGCCTTACCCCCAGAGGTCTTATTCACATTTTGTCCCTGCCTTACTCCTCGGAGACGTTATTCACATTGTGTCCCTGCCTTACCCCTCGGAGGTCTTATTCACATTATGTCCCTGCCTTACCCCTCGGAGGCGTTATTCACATTATGTCCCTGCCTTACCCCTCGGAGGCGTTATTCACATTATGTCCCTGCCTTACCCCTCGGAGGCGTTATTCACATTATGTCCCTGCCTTACCCCTCGGAGGCGTTATTCACATTATGTCCCTGCCTTACCCCTCGGAGACGTTATTCACATTATGTCCCTGCCTTACCCCTCGGAGGCATTATTCACATTATGTCCCTGCCTTACCCCTCGGAGACGTTATTCACATTTTGTCCCTGCCTTACCCCTCGGAGGCATTATTCACATAATGTCCCTGCCTTACCCCTCGGAGGCATTATTCACATTGTGTCCCTGCCTTACCCCTCGGAGGTATTATTCACATTATGTCCCTGCCTTACCCCTCGGAGGAGTTATTCACATTATGTCCCTGCCTTACCCCTCGGAGACGTTATTCACATTGTGTCCCTGCCTTACCCCTCGGAGGCATTATTCACATTATGTCCCTGCCTTACCCCTCGGAGGCATTATTCACATTATGTCCCTGCCTTACCCCTCGGAGGCATTATTCACATTGTGTCCCTGCCTTACCCCTCGGAGGTCTTATTCACATTATGTCCCTGCCTTACCCCTCGGAGGTCTTATTCACATTGTGTCCCTGCCTTACCCCTGGAAGGCATTATTCACATTGTGTCCCTGCCTTACCCCTCGGAGGTCTTATTCACATTGTGTCCCTGCCTTACCCCTCAGAGGTCTTATTCACATTATGTCCCTGCCTTACCCCCGGAGGTCTTATTCACATTTTGTCCCTGCCTTACTCCTCGTAGACGTTATTCACATTGTGTCCCTGCCTTACCCCTCAGAGGTCTTATTCACATAATGTCCCTGCCTTATTCACATTATGTCCCTGCCTTACCCCTCGGAGGCGTTATTCACATTATGTCCCTGCCTTACCCCTCGGAGGTGTTACTCACATTATGTCCCTGCCTTACCCCTCGGAGGCATTACTCACATTTTGTCCCTGCCTTACCCCTCGGAGGCATTATTCACATAATGTCCCTGCCTTACCCCTCGGAGGCATTATTCACATTGTGTCCCTGCCTTACCCCTCGGAGGTCTTATTCACATTATGTCCCTGCCTTACCCCTCGGAGGCATTATTCACATTATGTCCCTGCCTTACCCCTCGGATGCGTTATTCACATTATGTCCCTGCCTTACCCCTCGCAGGCGTTATTCACATTATGTCCCTGCCTTACCCCTCGGAGGTGTTACTCACATTATGTCCCTGCCTTACCCCTCGGAGGCATTACTCACATTTTGTCCCTGCCTTACTCCTCGGAGACGTTATTCACATTTTGTCCCTGCCTTACCCCTCGGAGGTCTTATTCACATTATGTCCCTGCCTTACCCCTCGGAGGCATTATTCACATTGTGTCCCTGCCTTACCCCTCGGAGGTATTATTCACATTATGTCCCTGCCTTACCCCTCGGAGGCGTTATTCACATTATGTCCCTGCCTTACCCCTCGGAGGTGTAACTCACATTATGTCCCTGCCTTACCCCTCGGAGGCATTACTCACATTTTGTCCCTGCCTTACCCCTCGGAGACGTTATTCACATTTTGTCCCTGCCTTACCCCTCGGAGGCGTTATTCACATTATGTCCCTGCCTTACCCCTCGTAGGCATTATTCACATTGTGTCCCTGCCTTACCCCTCGGAGACGTTATTCACATTGTGTCCCTGCCTTACCCCTCCGAGGCATTATTCACATTATGTCCCTGCCTTACCCCTCGGAGGCGTTACTCACATTATGTCCCTGCCTTACCCCTCGGAGACGTTATTCACATTTTGTCCCTGCCTTACCCCTCAGAGGTCTTATTCACATAATGTCCCTGCCTTACCCCTCGGAGGCATTATTCACATTATGTCCCTGCCTTACCCCTCGGAGGTATTATTCACATTATGTCCCTGCCTTACCCCTCGGAGGAGTTATTCACATTATGTCTCTGCCTTACCCCTCGGAGACGTTATTCACATTGTGTCCCTGCCTTACCCCTCGGAGGCATTATTCACATTATGTCCCTGCCTTACCCCTCGGAGGCATTATTCACATTATGTCCCTACCTTACCCCTCGAAGGCGTTATTCACATTGTGTCCCTGCCTTACCCCTCGGAGGTCTTATTCACATTATGTCCCTGCCTTACCCCTCGGATGCGTTATTTACATTATGTCCCTGCCTTACCCCTCGCAAGCGTTATTCACATTATGTCCCTGCCTTACCCCTCGGAGGCGTTATTCACATTATGTCCCTGCCTTACCCCTCGGAGGCGTTATTCACATTATGTCCCTGCCTTACCCCTCGGAGGCGTTATTCACATTGTGTCCCTGCCTTACCCCTCGGAGGTCTTATTCACATTATGTCCCTGCCTTACCCCTCGGAGGTCTTATTCACATTATGTCCCTGCCTTACCCCTCGGAGGTGTAACTCACATTATGTCCCTGCCTTACCCCTCGGAGGTCTTATTCACATTATGTCCCTGCCTTACCCCTCGGAGGTCTTATTCACATTATGTCCCTGCCTTACCCCTCAGAGGTCTTATTCACATTATGTCCCTGCCTTACCCCTCAGAGGTCTTATTCACATTATGTCCCTGCCTTACCCCTCGGAGGCATTATTCACATTATGTCCCTGCCTAACCCCTCTGAGGTGATCAGCAAGGCAAAAAGGATCAAATTGATTGAAATTTCTTTAAAGTTTTTATTCTCAACACTCAAATATGGTAGAATCAAATATTCTTCATGGATGGAAAAGTTTTAAGGTAAAACTCTTTTGTCCCTATACAAATAGTATTTCTCATTTCCACTTCTTTCTATTTCAAATTCTTTCCAATTGTTTCCATTTATGAGCTCACTTTTGTGACTGTTTTCAGCCCTTTGGCCTCTTGAAATGTGTCATGAGATTTGTTGGGACCTCATAGCTACTTTACAGCTGTACCTTAAATCACCTTGCAAAGTAGGATCAATATGTGTTCATGTACAATGTTTGTAGTACAGATCCACCATGAGTCTTGTAAAGACACAATAATTACCTGAAATAGATAAGAATTTCAATAGTTGTCTGTTACATGTAAAGTTGAAGGAGAGACTTCAGTGTAAATGGATATCATAACCATTGAAATCCAGATGACGTATCACCTATGAATGTCATGACCAAGTTGTGTTAATAGTCTTGTGTGATTTTGTTACAGGTACGAGTTGGAGTGCCCTTTATTCATGCCTACAGTCTAGAAAAGCTGTTCAAATCCTATGATGTTGACTTGATGTTCTGGGCTCATGAACATTCATATGAACGTCTTTGGCCTGTGTACGACAGAAATGTAATTATGATTAGTGGGTCCATCTTACATACTCCCAGGAGACACATTTACATACTCCCAGAAGACACATCTTACATACTCCCAGGAGACACATCTTACATACTCCCAGGAGACACATCTTACATACTCCCAGGAGACACAGCTTACATACTCCCAGGAGACACATTTACATACTCCCAGGAGACACATCTTGCATACTCCCAGGAGACACATCTTACATACTCCCAGGAGACACAGCTTACATACTCCCAGGAGACACATTTACATACTCCCAGGAGACACATCTTGCATACTCCCAGGAGACACATCATACATACTCCCTGGAGACACATTTACATACTCCCAGGAGACACATCTTGCATACTCCCAGGAGACACATCATACATACTCCCAGGAGACACATTTACATACTCCCTGGAGACACATCTTACATACTCCCAGGAGACACATCTTGCATACTCCTAGGAGACACATTTACATACTCCCAGGAGCATATCTTACATACTCCCAGGAGACACATCTTACATACTCCCAGGAGACACATTTACATACTCCCAGGAGACACATCTTACATACTCCCAGGAGACACAGCTTACATACTCCCAGGAGACACATTTACATACTCCCAGGAGACACATCTTGCATACTCCCAGGAGACACATCATACATACTCCCAGGAAACACATTTACATACTCCCTGGAGACACATCTTACATACTCCCAGGAGACACATCTTACATTCTCCTAGGAGACACATTTACATACTCCCTGGAGACACCTCTTACATATTCCCAGGAGACACATCTTACATACTCCCAGGAAACACATTTACATACTCCCAGGAGACACATCTTACATACTCCCAGGAGACACATTTACATACTTCAAGTAGACACATCTACTTACTTCAAGTAGACCTATCTTACATATTCCTAGCAGATGTGTCTTGCATGCATTCATTATTAGACACATCCTACATACTACCAGTAGACACATCTTACATATTCTTAGTAGACACACCTTGCATACACCCAGTAGAAACATGTTACATTACACCAGTAGATGCATCAAACATACTCTTGCATTTTTACCACATTTCATTAGACATACTTTATATACACCCAGTAGACACATTCTACATATACCCAGTAGACACATTCTACATATACCCAGTAGACACATTCTACATATACCCAGTAGACACATTCTACATATACCCAGTAGACACATTCTACATATTTTTCTGTAAATTCTTGGTTTACATATATCAATTACATGTATATGGATGTTTTGCAGGTCTTGAATGGAACCAAAGCCCCATACACTAATCCTGGTGCCCCTGTCCACATCATCACTGGGTCTGCTGTAAGTAGCAATCCGCACTTCATTGAAATGATGTAACATTAGCAGTAGGTATAAGACAGATATGACGGGAGTTAATTCCTGTTGGTGGATGTTAAAAGTGACTGTTCAAGTAGACATTATTGACACAAGACCGTGTAACTGAAATCCCAATATTTGTATTGTTGTGTACCATCCGAAAGATTGCAATTCAGCAGGCGCTGAAGTTGTGTTGAGAAAAAGTGGTGGATTAAAGTGAGTTCAGTGTCAGATGAAAAAATAGGTCATCACAACCTCAAATCAAAACTCACTTTTCTGTAAAAGTATTAATTTTCATAGGAGACTTGCTTATTAGCTCCACGGGTCTGAAGGGTACAACATTCAACGTTCGTCTGGCATCAACTTTTCCATTTAAACAACTTCTTCTCAAGAACCAGTTGATGAAATGTCTCGTTATTTGGCTGGTTGGTTGCTGGGATGAAGCTTGACAAAAGAAATGACCTTGACCTTAATTAAAGTGACAGGGCTCAAATTTGTTAAAGCTTTAAAACAACATCTTCTTACTAACCAAACGGTGCTGAAGCATGATATGTGGCTGACAGGTTCCTAGGATAAAGCCAAACAAATTTTTGGAAAAGAAAAAACCTTGCCCTTGATTCAAGGTCACAGGAGTCATATTTGTTAAAACCTTTAACTGATTCCTTCTTACTAATCAAAAAGGTGCAGAAATATGGTATCAGAGAATCAGGATATTTGGTTGAAAATTGTTCCTGGGTCAAAGCCCAAAAATGCACAATGAAAACCTGAAATGGCATTTTCCCATAATCCAGATCCTGACTCATTGTTAAGGGTTGAATATTAGAAGCAGTCTATTGTGGAAACTGGTTAAATTGATTGGATGTGCTCACTTTGAATGCCAATGGTGTACATGTGAATATATTTGTGATACTAACATCGATTCTATCTTTGATGAACATTGAATACCAGGTGAGTGATGCAGGCCCATTGAGACTCTTGTTTTCATTCATTTCGTGGGTAGTCTTATTGCACCAATTGATATGACCCCAATCTGTCAAAATAAATATCAATAGCTTTATTGAGCTATGTTTAATGAGATCAATAGTCGAAACGGAATTGTTATGGTCCCTAAAAATATTTGGGGGAGCATATACTTGCAACTTTATCTCTTTTTTTGTCCTTCCTTTTGTGTCCAGAGCATAACTTTGCCCACAGTTAAGCTAGGATCATGAAACTTAGTGTGTACATTGGTCACATTATGGCAATTTGTGCTGTACTAAATTCAGGGCTCTCAACTGTTTAATTTTTTACCTTTCTTAAAATTTTTGTTCTTTCCTTAAATTGTTTTTCCAGAACACAACTTGGATTGCTTGCATTAAAAGTCAGATAATGAATGTATACAACAACCCTACTAGGAATTTTTTACGAGGGATTTTATTTTGTTTAACAGTGGGTCACAGTCTCTTGTTGGGTCAGAGTTGGGCCCTGTAGAGAAAATTGAGGAACTGTTTCAAAACCCCTCTGCTTTTGTACGAATGTCTAAATTAAGTCCCAGTTTTATCTAAAAGATCCTTGGGTAATCAATTTTGAATAAATGATATGTCTGGGCCTATGGGGTGGAAGGGGTAGGGTCCTAGAATAGAAATAGTTAAAAATAATTTGAATGCTTTAGTCTAGATTTAGGCTATTTCAGCCACATGATTGATACCAAACACAAATGTATAGATATTTTATCCCATACAGATGTTTAATTATTGATATTTTACATAACAGGGATGTTCAGAGGATCACGATGACTTCGGTAATGCTGCTCCATGGTCAGCCTTCCGCAGTGTTGACTATGGATACACTCGTATGAAAGTGTATAATGCTACACACATCTACATAGAACAAGTCTCCGATGACAAGGTCAGTCAACCTATAATGCTTAATAAGTGACATCAAGAATCTATAAAGCTGTGTGCTGTCCATTAACTTTTGTAAAGTGCTACTCTTACTTCACAGTATTATTGCATAATTTTTCTCAAACATCTGAGAGGATGCAACCAATTTTGGCCTGAAACATCATCTAGGAAAGGCAAATGAAGTTGGTCTGACCCCTGTGAATGAAAGGTGGGGTGGGGGGCTCAAAAGGGAAATTAAGTAAAAAGTTTGATTCAAAGTGTTTATTATTTTCCTTAATACGTTTATGAAATTTAATCGGTTTAAATAAAAATCACTGAGGTAAGACAAATCATTCCTAATTGATGTTAATTTGATCCCTTAATACAAGTTTCCCCAATAGGAGAAATTTGGTTGTTGTGTGACCCTCCCCATTAATGCTTGCAGTCTGTAACTTCATTTTGGATAAAATATCACTGCAGTGTTTGTACTGACCATTGAAGTCCGAGGGGCAAGGCCTAAAAGGGAATATGAGAGTGTTGCTTTAAAATCCTACACCAGCTAAAGGTTCATATTTAGCCTGAAGTATCTTGGAAAGGTGAACATATTTTTAAATTAAATAAATGGATTGATGGGCATGAGATCCCTGAGGCAGGAGGGGCAGGGCCCAATTAGGTTCCAAGGGCTAGAGGGTCGGGGACCATTAAGAGTTGAGGTATTTGCTTAAAATTGCCTCTTCATAATTTTCTGATACATGATCACTATATTATGAATACTGACCCATCACTGATCACCTCTGTGGTCTTGGAATACCTATTTTTAGTGGGGTTTTATTACAAGTGATGTGAAGGTGAAAGTGATATTCTTTCTCCTGGTTACTGTGGTCAGATGACCAGGAAGGTCTGTGTGCCTGTGAACTATACATGTTTCTTTGTTTGCAGGATGGCATGATCATTGACAAGGTGTGGTACATCAAGGAAAGCCATGGTAGATTCAACTAAATCTTCAAGAAAAAGACCTGGTAGATTCTACTAGTGATGGAAAATCAATTAAACATTGTAATTGATTATCAATTAAAATTGGATTATTGGTGTAGTTATTTGATTACTTAATCAGCTGACTGCGTTTTCTGTGTTGCAGTACTAGAATCCCTTTTTTGGAATTATATAATGAAATGCCTTAATTACCTAGAATTTGAATAAGAATGACTGTTATTCGCAACTGAATTTTTGTTATGCACGATACGAAGATGATTTTACTAAAACAAAGGAAAATATTAAGGTAATGATGAATGATAATGAAAAATTACTATCAACCATGACATCAGGAGAGATAAACATCAGATTATCAATTATATCTTTTCATCGTCCCATCATTAGAATCTACTGGATTTACATCAAGGAAAATAACAGTACATTCTGTAAATCCTTTTGAAAGAAAATTATAGTGGACTCTGTTTAATAATCAAGGAACACGAAGGCAGATGCTACTCAATGGCCTTCAGTTGGTGTATTTCATTAGAACCTCTTCAAGGTTAATCACAAGAATTTCTACAAAATTTCTGTCAAACTATGCTGCATTATACTAGATCTTCAATGAAATGGAGGCGATGAGAGGGAGATACCACCAGACATCTTCAAAAAGCTTAACAAAACTTCATTGTCTACTGTATATAATGTTATGGTGTTAGTTGATCTTCAATCCTGATCAGTTTTCATATTTCTGTAGATTTTTTTTTTACCTTAGCTGATGGACAAAAAAACAGACCAATTAACACCAATATTGCCATGTAAAACATTGAATGATATGACTTTAGGTTACCCGATGATGTGTCACATGATAAAAATGCTGAAGGTTACCTGATGATGTGTCACATGATAAAAATGCTTTAGGTTACCCGATGATGTGTCACATGATAAAAATGCTTTAGGTTACCCGATGATGTGTCACATGATAAAAGTGCTTTAGGTTACCCGATGATGTGTCACATGATAAAAATGCTTTAGGTTACCCGATGATGTGTCACATGATAAAAATGCTTTATGTGCATCATTACTTTTTACCAAAGAATTTGTGGGAAAAGCTTGTGCCTCACTACGGGTCTAAAATGACAAAGTCTGATGGAAGTCTTCTGGGGGACCATGCTGACTAACATTATAAACCAGTTGATATTGTATATGTCAATGTCTGACAGCTTTCTGTGGTTGTCATGGTTTACTGTTACTGGGACACATATACCAATGAATTTGACATGATTGGTACAAGATATAAATTTTATAAGCTAATAATACTAACATAACCAGTAAAGATATGAAGCAAAGTTTAACTATTTTCTCTGAATGTTGAAAATATCTTATATTTTTTAATAACAAAATTCAAACCATATTCTCATAACATGATATTACCATACTCCACTTGCCATTTGAAGTACAGACAAGTCCAATTTCAGAAATGAACATATTTAATTTTCTCACCGTCCAAGCATTATATTTTTTTTCAATAAGTCTATATTTTTAATACATACAATATTTATGAATACAACTGGCAGTTATATTTTCCCTACAGCAGTGATTTCCAGCAGTAGGTAGTTTTGATATACAGCTTTTCAAGGACCTGTGGACTATAATCTCTCTTCATTGTCAGGTGGAGGAGTGTTTTGTATAGAGTGTGACATTACTTTGAGAATGTACATTATTAAATTTTGTGATATTTTCTGTCATTAGTGAAGCTCTGTCAAACATGTTTGAATTTGTATGAGCTAGTGTACAGGACTTACAATGTATATTAACAATTTTTGTGATATTTTCTGTCGTTAGTGAAGCTCTGTCAAACATGTTTGAATTTGTATGAGCTAGTGTACAGGACTTCTAATTTATGCTGTAACTACTGTAATTCAAAAGGAAAAAATCTTTCATGATTTAAATCTTTTGAGATTGCCAACAAGGTAACATATCCTAGCTAGATTGATAATTCCACTTTAGATCTCCATCAATGTAGATCTGGTCACAAAGCATATAGAATTATCTGAATATGGTCTGATGGAGTTGATCACTTACCTGTCCTCGTAAGTATGATCTTAAGTCTTGGACCAGGAATATATCATTCTACTCAGAATTTTAAAATTTGTATTCACTTTATACAGGAAAATATTCACTCTGTATTTTTTAGCCTTTGTAATAAGTATTTTCACTTAGTGTTAAATTTGCCCTAAAAAAGATAAAACAATTGTTATAGGTTGAACAGTGGTCTTTAGGGCACCTTTTTTTTGTCCTATTGACAAAATTTTCCCTGTTTACAAACTTGTTCATGCGGAAATTCAGTCTTCAAATAAATTTATGACTGTCTTGAACTGTTGGCCTTTAGGTCCGACAAGATTTGGTTGTAACCTGACCTTTAAGTAACCAAAGTGATGATTTGTTTCTAAGCACATTCCATGTTATACCATGTATTTAGCAGTGATTGATCCACAATTTTTTGTAAGTAGATAAAGTAGATGTAAACAATATGTCCTCATGTACATTTATTTACTTGATTAATGTTGACATTGTTAAATAAGGTGGATCAATTTTATATTTGATAAATCATGACATGTTACATAGTAGATTTATAGATGATGTAGTATTGATGAATTGTGATTTAGAAAACTTAGGAAATATCAAATCATTGATGTTGTTTAAGTATGCCAAATACGGAATTCAAATGTTGAGCACCAGCAAATTTCACTGGAAAGTTTGAAAATAATTGTAGAAAGTATTTTTTTTAGATAATTCAGCTGCATTTGTTATTTAGAGGAGGTGTTTATCAGAAGACATTAAAGACAAAAAGATAACAGTGTGATATTGTATCTATTTTATGTGACTTTCAGTAAAATGATTTGACATAAATGTGCTCCAGTGTCATGTGTTGAGCAAGAGGATAACTATAATCAAAATGCAAGGACAGGTAAAGATATTTTTCTGCATATGTATATTCACAGATCAATAATGGCTGTAAACTGATAACTATGACAATTTAGAAAACAAGAGAATCAGTGAAAATGATGAATGCTCCTTAAAAGCAACTTCACTGGACACAAAATTTTAATAATTCTATAATTAATGGGTTCAGGCACTGACTTTGGTACACTACACATTGTCTTAGTATGATGAATGTATGTAACAAGTTTCATTATTCTAGTTTAAACGCAAGCATAGTTATGCTTTGGACACAGATTTTAACAATGGGCAATAACCCCGTAATTGAGGTGTTGAGGGCCCTGAATTTGATACACTCCACATTGCCTTAGTATGACCAATGTACACAAGTTCCATGATCCTCGCTGAACTGTCATGAAAGGACGGAAAAAGCGGCAACTATATGATTCCCTTAAAATTTTCAGCAGCATAATAAACAATTACCTGTCAGTGCGACATATTGAAATAAAATAATGATTCTGGTCATTTTTAGTCAGGTATTCCATATACCTAATGTGGACAATAAACAAATCACACTATTTTATATCATACCAGTCAGTATTTAATAGACAAAAGTTGTAGGAACAATCACACAGTTAAAATACCTCAGTTGTACACTCCACACAGCAGTCATACCAATCATTAAACAATAATACATCTATCAAACAATATCACCATTTTAAAATATGAGATCGTCCTGAAAGTCCATAAGATGGGTGTTTATTGGGTTTACATACGTTAATAACAGTTGTGAATAACTAGCAGTATGTCTCCATCAGTTTAGATAAATGACTGATATTGTTATTACAGAGTAATTTTCTCCTTAGTATGTCATCACACAGACATAAGATGAAAAACAATGGATGTGTCATCAAGCTGCTTACAAAGGTAGATCTGTTATCACAATTTTACAATGGTGGACATGTCATCAAACACTATGTTGGATGTGTCATCAAACACTTACAATGGTGGATTTATCATCACTCACTAACAATGATTGATGTGTCATCACACACTCACAAAGGTAGACCTGTTATCACAATCTTACAATGGTAGACATGTCATCAAACACTATGGTGGATGTGTCATCAAACACTTGAAATGGTGGATTTATCATCACACACAAACAATGATGGACACATTATCACAAACACAATGGTGGATGTGTCATCACTTACAAAGGCGGATGTGTCATCACACACATTTACAATGATGCGGTTTCAGCACACTTATAATGGTGGATGAGTCATCATGCACACTTACAATTGTAGACAAAACTGTTAGTCAACTGTCATGGTGGCCTTAAGAAATGTCTTCTGTTGTCAGGAGACACCACCTATTGGTAAACTATGATGGTGACCGGAAAAAATTAAAGGTCATTTGTTGTCAGGAGACACCAACTGTTGGGTAACTATGATGGTGACCTTAAGAAGGTCATTTGTTGTCAGGAGACACCATTTATTGGTCAACTGTTGGATAACCATAACAGTGATTGATGGAAAGGTCATCAGTAGGTAGGGGATACCAACTGTTGGTCAACTTACACAGTGACCTTTAGCGAGGTCATCAGTATGCAGGGACATTGATGAAACAGATGGTCAACACAAATGAAGACTGGTCATCATTAGCCATTAAAGACTCACCAATCAATGAAATAAACTGCATTCTAAAATTATTGTAAATACTGCTAAAAAGACATAAAAACACCAGGAAAACAGTGCAAAATATTCTAAATTGAGTTGGATGTATAAGTTAGAATATCTATTGTTTAATACTGCATCTCACAATTGATGTAATAATTTCACTTCATTATTCTATAACTTTATGTTAACATTCAGTCATATTAACATGATTAGAACTGACAATTTACACAGGGATATAAATATAGACCACAAAGAAATATATAACTTTCAATACTGATAAATAATATTTCATCGACTTTACATGGGTGATCTCCCCTTACATGTTACCATGGTAAAATTCTGTTTTCTTCTAAATCTGTTATATAATAAAATATTGTGAAGGTATTGGTGGGTTTCTGTGGTTCTATAAGTATAAAAGGAGAAAGTAATTCTAAACAAGGACACCTGGTACATAGCATGACATCATAACAAATGTTTAGATAAAGAGACACAGGTGGAAGGTTTCCATTAAATCAAACAGACTCTCGAATATCTATGTGGTGCTGAGGGACAAATTAAATTTGTTACCTGAATATTTTCAAAGCTGATTTATCTCAATTACTGATATTCTGTAACAAAATGGCAATCACAACCAAACCAAGATAAGTCTACTAGTGTCTCACATACACCTTGTTGGAACATAATTGAGTCAAAATGGAACATGAAAAAACTGTTATGAACTTTTTTCTGTTTCTTCAGTTTTGCTGAATCTTTTTTGCAATGTGGACAAATGCAGCAGAAAAACAATTGTATATAACATTATGTTGATTATGATGTCACTTTGGCCAAATGTCGTGTAAAGGTAAAAAGCCAGAAGGGATAAGACAGATCTTATAATAGGTAGTGTGTTAGATTTTTCTATTTGATATTTTATAAAAACACAGAATCAGCCTAGGTTAGAGCAAGCAATGAAGTGATTGTGTACACTTTAATTTATCAGCAACAAAAAATGGCCTAGGGTTCTACCTGAGTGACAGTACTGGCCAGGAATTTCCCCATGCCACCATATCTACTGACTAAAACAAAACCTAAGCCACACAGCAGTGTGTACCACCTCACTACTGGAGCGTACAGTAAAAATATTGTAGCTGCTACTTGGAAAATATTCCAGAACACCAGTGAGAATGTGAACAAGTGTTGTACATAATCTTCCTTCTGCTGCCTAGCAGGATCAACCGGGGACCCTGAGAAAACTCGGTCACCAAGGTAATAATCTTTCAGTTGTTGTTCCTTTTGCTGCCATCGCTCACGGCACCATTTATCTATGCCTTCCTTGTCAAGTGGCACATCCACATCACTGTAGGCTTTAACATTGAAGTGCACCTCAGAAGGAAAGTTTCCCCGAAGGATATCCTTTTCACCCTGTGGGATATGTTTAGGGTAGGCCACAGCTACATCTAACAGAGAGTCCAGCAGATTATCTACAATAAATACATACAAATATGAATAACCCTGAAAACACCTACACCACAAGGCCGCAGACTTTGTAATCTCATGTGTAATGACGCAGGTTTTGTCTCATGCATACAGCACAACAGGAACCTTAAAATGTGACCAGTCCATTTAACTCAACATCAGTACAACATGATGGAAGAATCCCTCTGGATAAACATCAAGTGTGTAGTTGTGATGTACTGGATAATGGTGATACCAAATATTACACAGAACTCAGTATATAATGTACATACTACCAAGAGGTCATTCAAGTCAGCACTACTACTGATTCAAGTCAGCACTACTACTGATTCAACTACTGATTCAAGTCAGCACTACTACTGCTTCAACTACTGATTCAAGTCAGCACTACTACTGATTCAACTACTGATTCAAGTCAGCACTACTACTGATTCAAGTCAGCACTACTACTGATTCAACTACTGATTCAAGTCAGCACTACTACTGATTCAACTACTGATTCAAGTCAGCACTACTACTGATTCAAGTCAGCACTACTACTGATTCAACTACTGATTCAAGTCAGCACTACTACTGATTCAACTACTGATTCAAGTCAGCACTACTACTGATTCAACTACTGATTCAAGTCAGCACTACTACTGATTCAAGTCAGCACTACTACTGATTCAACTACTGATTCAAGTCAGCACTACTACTGATTCAAGTCAGCACTACTACTGATTCAACTACTGATTCAAGTCAGCACTACTACTGATTCAACTACTGATTCAAGTCAGCACTGCTACTGATTCAACTACAGATTCAGGTCAGCACTACTACTGATTCAACTACTGATTCAAGTCAGCACTACTACTGATTCAACTACTGATTCAAGTCAGCACTACTACTGATTCAACTACTGATTCAAGCCAGCACTACTACTGATTCTAGTCAGCACTACTACTGATTCAACTACTGATTCAAGTCAGCACTACTACTGATTCTAGTCAGCACTACTACTGATTCAACTACTGATTCAAGTCAGCACTACTACTGATTCAACTACTGATTCAAGTCAGCACTACTACTGATTCAACTACTGATTCAAGTCAGCACTACTACTGATTCAACTACTGATTCAAGTCAGCACTACTACTGATTCAACTACTGATTCAAGTCAGCACTACTACTGATTCAACTACAGATTCAGGTCAGCACTACTACTGATTCAACTACTGATTCAAGTCAGCACTACTACTGATTCAACTACTGATTCAAGTCAGCACTACTACTGATTCAACTACTGATTCAAGTCAGCACTACTACTGATTCTAGTCAGCACTACTACTGATTCAACTACTGATTCAAGTCAGCACTACTACTGATTCAACTACTGATTCAAGTCAGCACTACTACTGATTCAAGTCAGCACTACTACTGATTCAACTACTGATTTAAGTCAGCACTACTACTGATTCAACTACTGATTCAAGTCAGCACTACTACTGATTCAACTACTGATTCAAGTCAGCACTACTACTGATTCAACTACTGATTCAAGTCAGCACTACTACTGATTCAACTACTGATTCAAGTCAGCACTACTACTGATTCAACTACTGATTCAAGTCAGCACTACTACTGATTCAACTACTGATTCAAGTCAGCACTACTACTGATTCAACTACTGATTCAAGTCAGCACTACTACTGATTCAACTACTGATTTAAGTCAGCACTACTACTGATTCAACTACTGATTCAAGTCAGCACTACTACTGATTCAGGTCAGCACTACTACTGATTCAACTACTGATTTAAGTCAGCACTACTACTGAAGTGGTAAAAAAGGGCCATTTATCAAGAAGAAACATAAAGACAGCACTATGGCCTACTGAAGCAGTACACAAAACCCAATACCACAGAGAAGAAACTTAGATCTGACACTCAGTCAGCAGTATGGTCTACTGAAGCAGTACACAAAACCCAATACCACAGAGGAGAAACTTAGATCTGACACTCAGCAGTATGGTCTACTGAAGCAGTACACAAAACCCAATACCACAGAGAAGAAACTTAGATCTGACACTCAGCAGTATGGTCTACTGAAGCAGTACACAAAACCCAATACCACAGAGGAGAAACTTAGATCTGACACTCAGTCAGCAGTATGGTCTACTGAAGCAGTACACAAAACCCAATACCACAGAGGAGAAACTTAGATCTGACACTCAGCAGTATGGTCTACTGAAGCAGTACACAAAACCCAATACCACAGAGGAGAAACTTAGATCTGACACTCAGTCAGCAGTATGGTCTACTGAAGCAGTACACAAAACCCAATACCACAGAGGAGAAACTTAGATCTGACACTCAGCAGTATGGTCTACTGAAGCAGTACACAAAACCCAATAACACAAATGTGACAAATGTTGATCAACACTGTGGCTATGGATCTATGTTTATTTAAATTGTTCCTTTGATATTTCATAAGAATACATTCTATCTATATGTCTATTTACTTTCATATTAAGGGTACATTCCCTCAATAGTGTTTTCAATACTAAAAACTTAACTATTGATTTTATCAATAAAACATAAGAGAGCAAAATGGAAACTCAACACAGCAATGACACTTGTATTTAGTGTTGCGTTTTGCTGTACTGTTTTCTTGTTAAGGAACTCTATTGAATCCTATACGGATCAACTCCAAGATGCTACTCTATTAAATTCTATAAACAGATCCACCCAAGGACACTACTCTATTAAATCCTATAAATAGATCAACCAGAGGATGCTACTATAAACTTCCACATAAGGAGTGTTGGATCACCATTTATTTATTATTACAATTCTATCAATAAATCATGCAATGCCTCAAATGGGAAAAAAAAAGCCAAACTGATGAGATATCAGTTTAGGGCATGTTTCTGGAATCATATTGTAAGTAAACACAGCTGTTTTTTTGGCAATGCAAAACCCTACATTCCAAACTCCATATTAAATGCATACAAAATGTTACAGTAAATAATATTAAAAAAAAATAACTTAATCAACAAAAAAATGTATATATAACATTTGAAACTCCTACAGACCAAAAAATTGAAATTTCATGATTTCGATTTTTTAAATTTTGAATATAAGCTTCAATGGTATACAGGAAATGTATAAGAGGAACATCATTAAAAGCCACATCAATACATGTAAAACTTACATTCTCTCATTTTCTCCACAAGAAAGATAAAGCCAGTGGTGCGTGGATGGAGGACATAATGGTACTTCTCAAGGTCATTATCTTCAGCATACTTGTCACTTCTCTTCATAGTGTTAGGTGTCAGGTCAGTACCCTCAGGGAACAGTAACACCTGGACAAGAAAGAAAGTGGACTGTTACATTTTTGTTTGTGAAACATAATAATTGTCACATAAAAAAACATTATAGTGATAATATCATAAAACTTATATCTAGTAATGATATCTTTAAAACACTTGCATAGATTCTAAAAAATATTTTTCTCTGCTTTGGAAATGTAAAGAAAATTCAATGTTTTCCTGTAGAACACAAAGAACAATTCTCTACACCATGCTAGTTTATGTAGCTGGAGGACATGCAGAGAACAAGACTGACCATGTCTGCAGTGGAAGAACATCAACATACCATTTTACATGTGGAACTTTGTCTCTAACACTTCGACATAAGCCATGCACATGATTTGTGTGACAAATTTTGTCTTCAACACTTCAACATAAGTAAGACATTTATTTGAACACATGACTAGTGTGACTTACTTTGTCTTTAACACTTCAACATAAGCCATACATGTGACTTGTGTGACAAACTTTGTCTTTTAACGCTTCCACATTAGCAATACATGTGACTTGTGTGACAAACTTTGTCTTTTAACACTTCAACATCAGCCATACATGTGACTTGTGTGACAAACTTTATCTTTAACACTTTAACATTAGCCATACATGTGACTTGTGTGACAACATGTATACAGCATGGTATAAATGTCTCCTAATAATATTGTGCTTTAGTCTTACCTGGGGCTTGTGTTTGACCTTATGGAAATAAGAGATACATCTAGTCATGATTTTCTGGTCAATTTCCCATTTTCTGTGTAAGAATATATAACCAGCACTCTGCATTGCCCAACCTGAAAAGTTACATCAATATACTTATCAACACACAGATTATGACACCAGCATACCTATAAGTATTTATCATGTTTTACATTAACCAGCATACCTATAAGTATTTATCATGTTTTACATTAACCAGCATACCTATAAGTATTTATCATGTTTTACATTAACCAGCATACCTATAAGTATTTATCATGTTTTACATTAACCAGCATACCTATAAGTATTTATCATGTTTTATATTAACTAGCATACCTTTAAGTATTTATCATGTTTTACATTAACCAGCATACTTATAAGTATTTAACAGTTTTACATTAACCAGCATACCTATAAGTATTTATCATGTTTTACATTAACCAGCATACCTATAAGTATTTATCATGTTTTACATTAACCAGCATACCTATAAGTATTTATCATGTTTTATATTAACTAGCATACCTTTAAGTATTTATCATGTTTTACATTAACCAGCATACTTATAAGTATTTATCACTTTTACATTAACCAGCATACCTATAAGTATTTAACACTTTTACATTAACCAGCATACCTATAAGTATTTATCATGTTTTACATTAACCAGCATACCTATAAGTATTTATCATGTTTTACATTAACTAGCATACCTATAAGTATTTATCATGTTTTACATTAACCAGCATACCTATAAGTATTTATCATGTTTTACATTAACCAGCACACCTATAAGTATTTAACAGTTTTACATTAACCAGCATACCTATAAGTATTTATCATGTTTTACATTAACTAGCATACCTATAAGTATTTAACAGTTTTACATTAACCAGCATACCTATAAGTATTTAACAGTTTTACATTAACCAGCATACCTATAAGTATTTATCATGTTTTACATTAACCAGCATACCTATAAGTATTTAACAGTTTTACATTAACCAGCATACCTATAAGTATTTAACAGTTTTACATTAACCAGCATACCTATAAGTATTTATCATGTTTTACATTAACCAGCATACCTATAAGTATTTAACAGTTTTACATTAACCAGCATACCTATAAGTATTTATCATGTTTTACATTAACCAGCATACCTATAAGTATTTATCATGTTTTACATTAACCAGCATACCTATAAGTATTTATCATGTTTTACATTAACCAGCATACCTATAAGTATTTATCATGTAGCATACCTATAAGTATTTATCATGTTTTACATTAACCAGCATACCTATAAGTATTTAACAGTTTTATAAGTATTTATCATGTTTTACATTAACCAGCATAGTATTTAACATTTTACCTATAAGTATTTAACAGTTTTACATTAACCAGCATACCTATAAGTATTTATCATGTTTTACATTAACTAGCATACCTATAAGTATTTATCATGTTTTACATTAACTAGCATACCTATAAGTATTTAACAGTTTTACATTAACCAGCATACCTATAAGTATTTATCATGTTTTACATTAACATACCTATAAGCATTTTACATTAACCAGCATACCTATAAGTATTTAACAGTTTTACATTAACCAGCATACCTATAAGTATTTATCATGTTTTACATTAACCAGCATACCTATAAGTATTTATCATGTTTTACATTAACCAGCATACCTATAAGTATTTAACATGTTTTACATTAACCAGCATACCTATAAGTATTTAACAGTTTTACATTAACCAGCATACCTATAAGTATTTATCATGTTTTACATTAACCAGCATACCTATAAGTATTTAACATAAGTATTTAACAGTTTTACATTAACCAGCATACCTATAAGTATTTATCATGTTTTACATTAACCAGCATACCTATAAGTATTTATCATGTTTTACATTAACCAGCATACCTATAAGTATTTAACAGTTTTACATTAACCAGCATACCTGTAAGTATTTATCATGTTTTACATTAACCAGCATACCTATAAGTATTTAACAGTTTTACATTAACCAGCATACCTCTATACCTATAAGTATTTAACAGTTTTACATTAACCAGCATACCTATAAGTATTTATCATGTTTTACATTAACCAGCATACCTATAAGTATTTAACAGTTTTACATTAACTAGCATACCTATAAGTATTTATCATGTTTTACATTAACCAGCATACTTATAAGTATTTAACAGTTTTACATTAACTACATAAGTAACCAGCATACCTATAAGTATTTAACAGTTTTACATTAACCAGCATACTTATAAGTATTTAACAGTATAAGTATTTAACAGTTTTACATTAACCAGCATACCTATAAGTATTTATCATGTTTTACATTAACCATAACCAGCATACCTATAAGTATTTATCATGTTTTACATTAACCAGCATACCTATAAGTATTTATCATGTTTTACATTAACCAGCATACCTATAAGTATTTATCATGTTTTACATTAACTAGCATACCTATAAGTATTTATCATGTTTTACATTAACCAGCATACCTATAAGTATTTATCATGTTTTACATTAACCAGCATACCTATAAGTATTTATCATGTTTTACATTAACCAGCATACCAGCATACCTAAGTATTTATCATGTTTTACATTAACCAGCATACCTATAAGTATTTATCATGTTTTACATTAACTAGCATACCTATAAGTATTTATCATGTTTTACATTAACCAGCATACCTATAAGTATTTATCATGTTTTACATTAATCAGCATACCTATAAGTATTTATCATGTTTTACATTAACCAGCATACCTATAAGTATTTATCATGTTTTACATTAACTAGCATACCTATAAGTATTTATCATGTTTTACATTAACTAGCATACCTATAAGTATTTATCATGTTTTACATTAACTAGCATACCTATAAGTATTTATCATGTTTTACATTAACCAGCATACCTATAAGTATTTATCATGTTTTACATTAACCAGCATAACCAGCATACCTGTAAGTATTTATCATGTTTTACATTAACCAGCATACCTATAAGTATTTATCATGTTTTACATTAACCAGCATACCTATAAGTATTTATCATGTTTTACATTAACTAGCATACCTATAAGTATTTATCATGTTTTACATTAACCAGCATACTTATAAGTATTTAACAGTTTTACATTAACTAGCATACCTATAAGTATTTAACAGTTTTACATTAACCAGCATACCTATAAGTATTTAACAGTTTTACATTAACCAGCATACCTATAAGTATTTAACAGTTTTACATTAACTAGCATACCTATAAGTATTTATCATGTTTTACATTAACCAGCATACCTATAAGTATTTATCATGTTTTACATTAACCAGCATAACCAGCATACCTATAAGTATTTATCATGTTTTACATTAACCAGCATACCTATAAGTATTTATCATGTTTTACATTAACTAGCATACCTATAAGTATTTAACAGTTTTACATTAACTAGCATACCTATAAGTATTTAACAGTTTTACATTAACTAGCATACCTATAAGTATTTAACAGTGTACATGTACTCTATTGGTATATTTACCTGGGCCTGGAACATTCTTGAGACTTTTCTTCAAACTTATTTTAAAATGTCTCAAAGAACCACAACGCAGCTGGTAAGACATCATGAACAGCCAATCAAATCGCGTTCGGTGATTCATTAAGATCAGCCCACTCTCCTGTTCAGGTATCGGGTTTCCTGTGATAACAACCTTTACACCACAGACCTTTTCAACTACAGCCTGAAATCAACAAAAACATTTGCACTGGCCATAACACAACACACAAGTCATAAAACTTCAACACATGTCATGTCACTTCAACACAAGTCATGTCACTTCAGCACATGTCACTTCAGCACAAGTCATGTCACTTCAGCACAAGTCATGACACATCAACATGTAATGCTACAACACGAGTCATGATACTTCAACACAAGTCATGTCACTTCAACACAAGTCATGTCACTTCAACACAAGTCATGTCACTTCAACACAAGTCATGTCACTTCAAAACTAGCAATACTTCAACAATAGTCATGTCACTTCAGCACAAGTCATGACACATCAACATGTAATGCTACAACACGAGTCATGATACTTCAACACAAGTCATGTCACTTCAACACAAGTCATGTCACTTCAGCACAAGTCATGACACATCAACATGTAATGCTACAACACGAGTCATGAGACTTCAACGCAAGTCATGTCACTTCAACACAAGTCATGTCACTTCAGCACAAGTCATGACACATCAACATGTAATGCTACAACACGAGTCATGATACTTCAACACAAGTCATGTCACTTCAACACAAGTCATGTCACTTCAGCACAAGTCATGACACATCAACATGTAATGCTACAACACATGTCATGTCACTTCAACACAAGTCATGTCAGTTCAAAACTAGCAATACTTCAACAATAGTCATGTCACTTCAGCACAAGTCATGACACATCAACATGTAATGCTACAACACGAGTCATGATACTTCAACACAAGTCATGTCACTTCAACACAAGTCATGTCACTTCAGCACAAGTCATGACACATCAACATGTAATGCCACAACACGAGTCATGATACTTCAACACAAGTCATGTCACTTCAACACAAGTCATGTCACTTCAGCACAAGTCATGACACATCAACATGTAATGCTACAACACGAGTCATGATACTTCAACACAAGTCATGTCACTTCAACACAAGTCATGTCACTTCAGCACAAGTCATGACACATCAACATGTAATGCTACAACACATGTCATGTCACTTCAACACAAGTCATGTCAGTTCAAAACTAGCAATACTTCAACAATAGTCATGTCACTTCAGCACAAGTCATGACACATCAACATGTAATGCTACAACACGAGTCATGATACTTCAACACAAGTCATGTCACTTCAACACAAGTCATGTCACTTCAAAACTAGCAATACTTCAACACAAGTCATGTCACTTCAGCACAAGTCATGACACATCAACATGTAATGCTACAACACGAGTCATGATACTTCAACACAAGTCATGTCACTTCAACACAAGTCATGTCACTTCAAAACTAGCAATACTTCAACACAAGTCATGTCACTTCAGCACAAGTCATGACACATCAACATGTAATGCTACAACATGAGTCATGATACTTCAACACAAGCCATGACACTTCAACACAAGTCATGACACATCAACATGTAATGCTACAACATTAGCCATGACACTTCAACACATGTCATAACACTTCAACACAAGTCATGATACTTCAACACAAGTCATGACACTTCAACACATGTCATAACACTTCAACACATGTCATGACACTTCAACACATCTCATAATACTTCAACACATGTCATGTCACTTCAACACAAGTCATAACATATAACAAAATGTTTAACTATATAAATATTATTACTTTCATTATGAAGGGTTACCATGTAACTACCTAGTTTTCAGTGTAATAACACTCATTACATAAATTGTGTTATGATCATGCAGTAATACCTATAGCTGAAGGTCCCAGTTTCAACTGTGGTGCTATAACATAAAGGTGTCATATGTATTGTGACATCACCAAAGAAAGAGATGTAGAGTGAGAGTATATAAATCAGCTGAGTTTCCAGAATACATGAATCATTAGAATGCTTCAGGTGATGGCATATAAAGTTAACAAAATACAGGTAATGTTGTGCTTGTGTGATTTGCAAGTATATCAGAAATATTTTGCCATTGACACTATGATTTTGACCAACGTGTACTAAATAACTGCAGTCTTCAGCTTGGGCTATACTATGTTTGATCCCGAAGTAATGACATACATTGATACTGTCTAATTTATTAAGCAATTGTAACCCACTTGTATAAAATAATACATTGAACAAGTAAGCATATCCTTACTGGTAAAATGCATAAAAATTAAAAAGGTGTTACTTAAATCAATAGATCCATATATTGAAAGCATCATGATCATGAAAGATTGTAAAAGAAATTTACAGGTAAAAATGATAACATACTATTGAAAAGTTGATGAACCCTATTTTTATTTGTTTATCCTTGCATGTTTTCCTCCAACTTTCAAACCAACATTGTTCCCAACATAGTAAAAATTCTACAGAGCTGATATCTGTATTTGTTAAAACTTGTATATGCAATAAAAGTTGTAGTAGATTCAATTTTCTAATGCAAAACCTTTGCACTATATGTATATATTCATTTATCTTCATCAGCACTTTTAACACTCAAATTAAAGCTCATAAAATTAACGATCAATTATTTTTGAAGACTTTATTGCTAGAAATCAGAAGTAAAACCATTTTGTACTCATGCTATAAGAAAACAGTAATGACTTTGAAAAAAAGGCTTATTGAAGATATAAAGATATTAGAGGAGAGAGCAGTTCCAAGTGATGCTATGTTAAACAGTATAATGATAAAACATTATTCATTCTCTAGCAAAACGGCTTAGTGAAAGTGAAAAGACAACTTGTAAGACTAGAATCATGATATTACACCTGCAAAATTATTCTAAAGACAGAAAGGTTCAGAAGGATTTTCAGCTGAAATTTTTTAAGACTTTTTAGAAACAACTTGAGCAATTTATGGTGAATCAATTTGGGTTATTCAGTAGCAGAACTATCAGTTATACAAAAACGAGGAATTATACATGTATCCCAAAAGGAGACAAACCCAGCAAAAACTTGAAAATTGGCGTCCCATCTCCCTGCCTGATACTATTTAAAAGTTAGCATGAGGCACAATAGCAGAAAGAATTTTAATTGTAATAAATTACTTAGCTGTAATCAAACTAGATTTATTCTAGATAGACATATTGGAGAAAACAATGCATCATACTGAAAAAAATGACATACCTCGTCTTTTTATTTTGAATTGACTTTGAAAAATGCTTTTGACTCTGTCTCTTCAGATTTTATTACCAAAACTCTTTTTCTTTTTTAATTTGGACCACCAATTATCAATATTATTAAACTTTAAAAAAAAATCCACTCTGCAGTTAACATAGGAGGGAACTCTTTCTGGCTATTGAGTGTGGATGTCATCAGGGGGACCCAGTCTCATATGTTTCTATATTGTGTGCTGAAATATTTCAATTCTATTAAGACAATTCGGATATCAGTGGTATTGTTGTATATAACAAAAAAAATCCTTTTATGCCAGTATGCTAATGATACTGTTTTGATTCTTGATAGTTCACAAAAATTCTGAAATATAATGCTACAATTTAATTATCATACAAGAATTTCAAAATGAATTTTACCAAGACCGAAGCAATTTAGATATGCAGCAAAAAGTATATGATGCTGATATAAATAGAACAGCAATATTTAACTTTGCCTGTTAAAGCTTGTTAAACTTAAATCTCTCATAAGCTTGTGGAGTCAAGTAAATCTCACTCCATTTGGTAGGATAACTATTATTAAAACATTACTGATTTAAATATTTAATCTTCTCTTTATAGCCCTTTCAAACCCACATGACTCTTACATAAAAAAATCTATAACATATCATTTGAATTTCTGTGGGGTCGAAAGACTGATAAAGTTAAATGTGAAGTTATGATCAAGTCATCCAATGAGGGTGGTTTGAAAAAGATTAACTTAAAGTCATTCATGACATCTCTTAAGGCAATGTAGGGTATTAAGAAGGCTCTATAAAGAATGTTCTAGTTGGACTCTATTAATGAGACCTGGGTGTTCTGTGAACACCAACATTTTTTGAAACAAAAGGAGAACTACATTGATAAGTTCTCTTTAACTAATTATGGAATTCATAAATTGAAAACAACAATGGAACAATGTAAGATTATATTTTGGAAAAATGTTCTGGAAGCACAATATCAAAAAATAGTTTCATCCAGTAAGCACAGCAAAAAAACATGTGAAAATCTGTTGTGGTATAATCACAATATCAGAATTAATAATACACCTGTTTTCTGTAAAGAGTGGCACAGAAAAGGAGTACTTTTTAAATATTATCTTATTAAGGAAGACTGTCCTGTCTACAATGTTGTAGTATTTTAGCAGGAATATGATATATAGATATAATTTTTTCACAGTTCACAGTATAATTGGTGCTATAAAGCATTTCATAATTTGCAGACAAGAAATTTTGATTTGGAAAACAGTAGCTTTAAATCTAAATATCATATTTAGATATACAAAAAGAGGACACTGGGTATGTATGCTGCTTTATGCCATAATGAGAAAAAACCAACATCACAAAGGAAATGGTCCACAGATTTTAATATTCAGGATGAGCAATTGACGAAGATTTATGCATGCCCTTTTAAAACTACTAATAGTACCTTTTAAAATTAAAGATGGCTTTAATACTGATTCAACCACAGAATCCACAAATCTACAAACACAATTTTACAAGAAATGGGTTTAAAACAAGATCATGTTGTACATTTTGTAAAAGATTTCCTGAAGCAATTGAACATCTATTTTTGGATTGTGATAGGGTATGTGACATTTTAAGAAAATTAAAACAAATACATTGGTACATAATGTACTTGCAGCCAGTGACATAAATTTTAATTTCGTTAAGCAGGAATTTAGCTTTGGATAATTAAGTTTCAAAGATTTTGACTTAATGAGAGACAATCTTAATTTATTATTGATTAAACAATAATACGTCTTTAATATGAAATGTAGGGAAGTGAAATGTAACATATATAACAAGTAAAAAAACTCACAATCTCATCGAACTTAAATCTCATAAATGCTTGATATTTGAGCATAAGGATTGTAAACATAATGTAGAATTACAAAACAAGTGGAAAAATGGCTTCTCATATAAAGTGACAACAATAAATATTGTTATTATACTTAGTATGCTATACAACAGCAAGCTTGAAGTGGTAGGTTTGCAACCACCCCCCTTCCCCAACCTCCAATGTGTGTATTATGTGTGCATAATGACTGTATTATATCCATTGTCATACAGAGAGGTGTACATGGGGACATGAAAAGAACCCAATAAATGTATGCTTATTGCGTTGTTTGTAAATATTTTGTTCATGAAAAGAAAAACTGAATAAAGAAAATAAAATGAAATAAAAAAAATGCATAAGACATGAGCCACCCCAAGCCATTCCTGTAAATGTGCACCACCAATGTAGTTTATGTCATATTTACCATGAACAGATTGTTGTCACTTGTTGATAATGACTCTTTATAGACATGTACACCTTACGGTATATTTGTGTTTCAGACATGCTTTTCATTTCATTGACATTTCTTAGCCCAGTAATGGATGCAAGCTGTGAACCTCTATATCCAAATATTAAAATTTACAATGTTAATTTATCAAAAGATTAATACTCTGCTATGGTATAGAGTTTATGAAATTGTTAAGGTTACTGATAAATAAAATCATTGTTTCCAATGTTCATCAAGAGATATTTCAATGGGTAGAATACTGTCCATTTCAAGAGCATTCTCTGGTAAACTGTTCCATGTATCTATGACTTGAAGTCTAAAATAGTTCTTTTTAATGTCCAAATGACAATGTTTCTCAAACAGTTTTTAGGGTGACCATTGTTTTATTTGTATTGTTCATTTGGGAAAAAATTGAGTTAATCTGCAATCATAAATATTTTTAAGAATATGAAATACTTTAACCATATCTCCTCTAACCCTGCAGTAATCTAATACTGAAAGGTTCAATCTTTCCAAATGTTTCGTGCATAAACTGGACTCACAAGAAAATCCTACAAAAATTACTGAATCATATATATACCAGACAGGCCTAGCTACATCATCCTCTAGCAAGAAAATTGATATAATTGTAACCATATATATACCAGACAGGCCTAGCTACATCATCCTCCAGCAAGAAAAATTATGTAATTGTAACCATATATATACCAGACAGGCCTAGCTACATCATCCTCTAGCAAGAAAATTTATGTAATTGTAACCATATATATACCAGACAGGCCTAGCTACATCATCCTCCAGCAAGAAAATTGATGTACATATGTAATTGTAACCATATATACCAGACAGGCCTAGCTACATCATCCTCCAACAAGAAAATTGATGCAAATATAACCATATATATATACTAGACAGGCCTAGCTACATCATCCTCCAGCAAGAAAATTGATGTACATATGTAATTGTAACCATATATACCAGACAGGCCTAGCTACATCATCCTCCAACAAGAAAATTGATGCAAATATAACCATATATATATATACTAGACAGGCCTAGCTACATGCATCCTCCAGCAAGAAAATTGATATAATTGTAACCATATATATATACCAGACAGGCCTAGTTACATCATCCTCAAGCAAGAAAATTGATGCAATTGTAACCACATATATATACTAAACAGGCCTAGCTACATGCATCCTCCAACAAGAAAATTGATGCAATTGTAATAAGCCACTTTCCTTTAGTGAACCCAGAATTTATAACATTGTACAAAATGATAATGGATTATTTTTAATTTAAAGTTTTAAGGGTTTAATAGAACATAGGCACCTGTATATGGAACAATTTGCAACACAAGCAACAAGCAAAAAATCCAAAAATCCAGTAGACTACATATACATCATACAAATGATACAGTGGTCTGGATTTTTTTTGTGTTGTTTACATTCCAGATACAGGTACCTGTGATCAGAAATAAAAATATCAAGGAATAGTTTCTACGAAAGAAATATTATAAAAAAAATATTGATATAGATATCAGATCTACATGTAGAGCACTATAAATATTTACCACAGCGTAAACCTGCCAGAGCCATATCAGCTGATCAAGTAAGCGTCTGCCAAGGGCGGGTTGAAAATACACCAGAGGGATCAGAGGTCCTAAAAAAAATATGGCTCCAAGGGTACTGCTGTACCCCAACAATATAACGAAAAGAACCCCCTTCAAGTTCATCCTCCTGATGTTGCCAACCTAACTAAGGAGAGATATGTCCATGTTTATGAACTATGTACCGGAAGTTTACGCGGATTAACTCCCCTATTGGTGTGGTGTAACATCTGGATAATAATGACATGAGAGGACAAATATTTTATTTCATCATTTAAGATGTAGTTTTTAACGCATTTCTTCCATTTTTCTCTTCGAACTTTCCAGAAATCTACAGGTAAACAGTTGATTTCAATAAAATATCAATTTATTTTTTAATAGAATTAAATTCAATTAGGTTCAAACCCTTTAAAACTGAGGACGTGTTTAGGAGTTGAAGCAACGTGTTAGTGTTAAGTCATTCAAGTTATTTGCATTTAAAATTATAGACTAAATCAAGCAGCTAATTTTGAAAAGTATATTACATCTCTGATTTGAGATTCCGAAAGATATATCCGACGGCCATGGCGAATATATTTCTGGATATTTAAAGACATGATATTACCAAAAACAGGTCAACGAAACTTGAGGAACAAATCAATCCAATACAAAGTAAACAACCCAATTTCAAGGTTAAAGGTCAACCCTTGCAAAATAAGCAAGCCATTAACAAGGCGTAGGGCCAGCCCTTGCAATGTAAACAATTCAATGACAAGGTTAAAGGTCAACCCTTGCAAAATAAGCAAGTTAATAACAAGGTTTAATTGCAACCAAAGTAAACAACACACCATCCGATAAGGACCAAGACTAACACTTATAAAGTAAATCAACCAATGATGAGACTCGAGATTAACTCTCCGAAGTAAATAAACCAATGACAATGCTAGTCTACACATCCAAACTAAACACACCAAAGAAAAGGCTCAAGGTCATTTAAAGTTATCACATCTATTACAAGGTTAGGGGGTCATTCCTTCCTAAATTGACACACGAATTCCGAGACTAGATGCCATTTGCTCAAAGTAGTAAACAAACCAATATATAACAGTAGCGTTATTTCCCTAATACACACTCAAAGCAAGAATCAAATTAAGTCACCCACACCCTATCCACATGAATTACCTCACTCAAAATTATTCTTCCTTTAATACACCCAAGAAATAACTCTATATCATTAATTGTACTATATATAGGATTCAATGTCATGTGTTTGGTCTTTATTGGGTAAAATGGGGACTATGACATTTCTCGTGAACATAAGCGACATCTTCTCCATCTTCATGTACATGCCTATTACGTGTAGGCACATGTAGCAGTACCTGTCAGCATGTTCAATAATGCATGTAGGCCTGCGTCAATCAATAGCAAAACTGATTTAAAATCTTGGTTCTAATGTCACATACAGATTGGTTAGTCAAGGCGCTTTAAATATAGAATTAACACTTAAGTAATGTAACGGCACGTCCCAGTGGAGACACAGACGGATAGCCTGAGTGTGACTAAAACTCGTCTGTTTAAAGAACAAACATTTCTTATACATGCGTGGACTGCTAAGCATGTCCATTCTATCTGCAAACTTATTGTTCAATTTTAGAAATATTCAATTGTTACTAAAACAACAAGCGTTTTTCATCTGGGTACCTGGGTACACAGATAATACCAATTGTCAATTTCCTTCAACAAAACCCCAAGAATACCAATAACACCAATCGCCACTTTCCATCGCTAAAAACATATCCATGACATTATCGTCATGGTGACTATATCGAGAACACATATCAAATACTTTCTAACGACCAGGGTGATTTTCTGTCTGCTCTCTTATGCAGTAACTGGTGACCACTTCATCGAACGACATACGGAAGGCCCATCACATATGATTAAAATCTGTAGGGGTCAAGTGGCTTGCCGAAGGATGCAACAATTATAACAAAGGATAGCATGTTTGTCAGCTTCACAAACACAACCTAACTTGCCTGATAGGGATAGTCAAACCGCTCACTTCTGTACCCGAGGTTGTAAGTCCTACACTCTAGCCATGAAGGCTATCAAGCCGCCATATGAATGGTACGAATTATTTTCACCAGAAATACATACTGTCCTGAGCAGCTGATATGCCATATTGACACAATATGATGTCCAGTAAAGAAAAAGGACAGACGGCGTTGCCTTCCACATCGTCGTTATCTCAGAAAACCATCAATATGACAGGCTATAGTGTGTGGTACCCAACCAGTTTGGCGTAAATGTTGCATCGACAGAAGGTACTACGTTGGACAGATATATAAAGAAAGCAAGCATTTCATACTCTCAGAAAGCAGTCAGATTAGCGGTGTCTAAAATTTGGGAAAGAGGTAGCACACATCATTTGCCTGATTTCATTGGATGGACAGTTATTGTACATCCTGTTTCAGTCATGACATGTGCTGTGACACGTCGCATCATCATGGATAATCATCATTCAAGATACAAACATCCAAAATGACCAGTAAGTGGTACGGTTACCTCAAGTCTTGTTGTTCTCGGTACCGTCATCTCAGTCTATACCCGATATCTATGGTTCTGTTCATATAAAGTGGCCGTGTCAGTTCCTGCTTCGCCAGTCATCAATGGTGGCAGACTGGGATTTTGTTTTTATCTTGTCTTGCTGTTTAAACAAAAAGATATCCAATATAGTATTATCGATCAGAATATGTACGTGTTGACCAACATGTTAGCAAGGATGACAAGAGCGCCTTCTTTGAGTTCTTGTGATGGATCTATAGCTGGAAAGTCAAGTAATCGAGACGAATCTTTGACTCGACATACTAGAAAGCTCAGAACTCATATATTTGTACCTGTCGTAGATCAAATCGTCCTAGTAAGACACCACGAAGAAAAGCTTCTATGTAGTCACGTCCGATATATAACCAGACGATGTACTATCAAAATATTGTAGACACCAGCAGCTCAGCAAAGACAGCTGAGAGAGTGTTCTTTGTGACTGTAGCCTTCTCCTCGCGGCCGACTTATTCTTTTATGTCAGCATTGACCTCTGCTTCAGGTTTGTTACTCAAGTTTTAATGACTTTTCGAATCGTTCATTTTGGATTCGCTTTAAGATGTATTGATGATGTTTTTATTAGATAACGGGAATTTTATCGTCGATATTTACCTTATATAACTGCAAATCAATACCGCTGATCATCCTAGCAAGATACGACTAAAAATGGAGACATGGACATCGAGTGCCTTTCAATGTTTTGCTCTAATGTGGGACAGCATGCAGAATCGGAATAGAAAAAGTGAAGAAATACGACGTCCCCATTCAAACATTTGGTACCCCCTTTGAATGTTCCTTTTGTTTGTTTCAGGGTGATGGTGTCGACCTAAGTACTTTTTCAGTGAAGATATTAAAATCAGAACTAGAACGAAACAATTATCTTTTCAAAAAAGCACAAAACCAAGTTGATCTAATTTGCTGACAACCGTGTTAATTTGTTTTGTATGTGTTGATTGGTATGTCATTTCCTTGGAAAATAATCGATTTCCTTGTGCACTATGGACGTGGGCGATGCTTGTTGGTATGCCTGGTGGTTCCGGTGTTGTAAATTGAGCTCGTTCTTACATATATACTTGGAATCATGGCATTACCTACTTGGGTTGACCAAGAAACAGGAGACGCTTACTCCTACTTTTGTTTTTAAGGATATCCGTGTGATTTAGTTGTTCTTTTTATTGATTTTGGATAGGAACAGATACTGTTGGCATGTGGATATTCTCTTATATTCTTCTATCAGTATCCCAAATGCACATGCTAGTGACATGTCGATTTACATGATAAAACCCAATACTACCTATAATGTTAAATTTACCTTATACATGAACAAGTAACGATGGTGTTACTGTTTTACCGATGGTGTTACTGTTTTACCGACGGTGTTACTGTTTTACCGATGGTGTTACTGTTTTACCGATGGTGTTACTGTTTTACCGACGGTGTTACTGTTTTACCGACGGTGTTACTGTTTTACCGACCCATACTGTTACAGAATGCATTTTTATAGGTCTCTGTCAGAATTAGTCCCGGTAACATTTTGATATTATGCACTTGTTTCATGTAACCCGGATAAACATCTACATTTTTGTATTTTGTGTAATTATTTGGTCTATATGTGTTGTATTAGGTAGTATTGGGTGGAATTGGGTAAACCAACACTTGTATTGGGTTGTATTGGGTAAACCAACACTTGTATTGGGTTGTATTGGGTAAACCAACACTTGTATTGGGTTGTATTGGGTAAACCAACACTTGTATTGGGTTGTATTGGGTAAACCAACACTTGTATTGGGTTGTATTGGGTAAACCAACACTTTATTGGGTTGTATTGGGTAAACCAACACTTGTATTGGGTTGTATTGGGTAAACCAACACTTGTATTGGGTTGTATTGGGTAAACCAACACTTGTATTGGGTTGTATTGGGTAAACCAACACTTGTATTGGGTTGTATTGGGTAAACCAACACTTGTATTGGGTTGTATTGGGTAAACCAACACTTGTATTGGGTTGTATTGGGTAAACCAACACTTGTATTGGGTTGTATTGAGTAAACCAACACTTGTATTGGGTAAACCAACACTTGTATTGGGTTGTATTGGGTAAACCAACACTTGTATTGGGTTGTATTGGGTAAACCAACATTTGTATTGGGTTGTATTGGGTAAACCAACACTTGTATTGGGTTTGTATTGGGTTGTATTGAGTAAACCAACACTTGTATTGGGTAAACCAACACTTGTATTGGGTTGTATTGGGTAAACCAACACTTGTATTGGGTTGTATTGAGTAAACCAACACTTGTATTGGGTAAACCAACACTTGTATTGGGTTGTATTGAGTAAACCAACACTTGTATTGGGTAAACCAACACTTGTATTGGGTTGTATTGGGTAAACCAACACTTGTATTGGGTTGTATTGGGTAAACCAACACTCGTATTGGGTTGTATTGGGTAAACCAACACTTGTATTGGGTTGTATTGGGTAAACCAACATTTTTATTGGGTTGTATTGGGTAAACCAACACTTGTAATGGGTTGTATTGAGTAAACCAACACTTGTATTGGGTAAACCAACACTTGTATTGGGTTGTATTGGGTAAAACAACACTTGTATTGGGTTGTATTGGGTAAATCAACACTTGTATTGGGTTGTATTGGGTAAACCAACACTTGTATTGGATAAACCATCACTTGTATTGGGTTGTATTGGGTAAACCAACACTTGTATTGGGTTGTATTGGGTAAACAAACACTTGAATGGGGTAAACCAACATTTTTATTGGGTAAGCCAACACTTATATTGGGTAAGCCAATGCTTGTATTGGGTTGTATTGGGTAAACCAACACTTGTATTAGGTTGTATTGGGTAAACCAACACTTGTATTGGGTAAGCCAACACTTGTATTGGGTTGTATTGGGTAAACCAACACTTGTATTGGGTTGTATTGGGTAAACCAACACTTGTATTGGGTAAGCCAACACTTGTATTGGGTAAACCAACACTTGTATTGGGTTGTATTGGGTAAGCCAACACTTGTATTGGGTTGTATTGGGTAAACCAATGCTTGAATTGGGTTGTATTGGGTAAACCAACACTTGTATTGGGTTGTATTTAGTAAGCCAATGCTTGTATTGGGTAAACCAACACTTGTATTGGGTAAACCAACATTTTTATCGGGTAAACCAACACTTGTATTGGGTTGTATTGGGTAAACCAACACTTGGGTAAACCAACATTTGTATTGGGTTGTATTGGGTAAACCAACACTTGTATTGGGTAAATCTGGACTTGTATAGGGTTGTATTTGGTAAATCAGCACTTGTATTGGGTTGTATTGGGTAAATCAGCACTTGTATTAGGTTGTATTGGGTAAATCAGCACTTGTATTGGGTTGTATTGGGTAAATCAGCACTTGTATTAGGTTGTATTTGGTAAATCAACACTTGTATTGGGTTATATTGGGTAAACCAGCATTTGTATTGGGTTGTATTTGGTAAATCAACACTTATCGGGGTAAATCAACAGACCCAAATTATTCCAGTTTCAAACCTATGGGTAAAAGTTTTAATCGAGTGTGAATGATTCTCAATAAATCACCTCATTCCAGGGCTTTTGGTTGTCCTCACCATCAATTTTGCACTAGAAGATGATATGTCCAGTTTTAAAACATTCCCTTGCTAAAGTCTGCTTTGCTCTTCAGCAGTATTTTGTAGTATTTCAAGGAGATGGCCACACCCAGCATCTGTACCTGGTATTCCCATCAGTAACATATAGTTCTGAAATAGCTGCTCAGAGGTAGTTTTGATTGGTCATATTTTCAGAGGAGCCTTTATTAAGAACAAAAAACCGAAACAGATTTACTATATTTATTTAACTTACGTCATACCACATTTACAAATTGTGATCATACTCTATTGGTGTGAATGATTATACAGGGTAATGGAAAACAAACCTCACCAAAGTCAAACAATGACACTGGAAAAACTAGCCATTATATTTTACAATACGACCTAATCTAGAAAGTCAGGGAGAGTAGATTACATCAGCACACAAAACTCTACTGAAGTAGTTTTCAAGGTGTCTGATCAGCCTCCATACAGAACTCTACTGTATTGGTTGTCAGGGTGTCTGATCAGCCTCCATACAGAACTCTACTGTATTGGTTGTCAGGGTGCCTGATCAGCCTCTATACAGAACTTTACTGTATCGGTTGTCAGGGTGCCTAATCAGCCTCTATACAGAACTTTACTGTATCGGTTGTCAGGGTGTCTGATCAGCCTCCATACAGACCTCTACTGTATCGGTTGTCAGGGTGCCTGATCAGCCTCCATACAGAACTTTACTGTATTGGTTTTCAGGGTGCCTGATCAGCCTCCATAGAGACCTCTACTGTAGTAGTTATCGGGTCGTCTGATCTATGTCCATACACAATGCTACCACAGTTATTGTGAAGACAGCTTTCATCTACAAACACTCCTTGAGTATCTCTTGCAAGAGAAGCGAATCCAAAGACATACCTTTAAATGGTAATCATGGTGACCAGTCACAAACTGTCATATATTACACGATGAGTATTTCAATTACTGGAGGATGTGGTTATATAAATATTTGTCTAGTAAACAAAACCTAATGAATTCTCAACATCAGTAATTGATGTTTGAATCTGTGAAATGATACAAATAATACTGTCAATAATTTCATAGTGTAATACAACTGTATCAGTGCTTAATTTCCTTAAATAGATAACTGAATTAAGTATACAATATTTATAACAGTAAATAAAATAGGTATAAATGGCAACAAAAATGTAACAAAAACAAAAATAAAACTAGCAGTAGTTGTAGGACATGTAGTAACAATGGCAACATAAATGTAAAAGCAGGCAGTAGCTTGTCTGTCTAGTGTGCCATGTCTCCGAACCGTCACCAAAATGTCCACTATTGATTACTAATGGAAAAGAAAACTAAAGACACTAAATTATGCTTCGTTGCTGCTCCAAGCTGACAATGGATTCGGACATCAACACTCCATGTCTGTATTTTTTGGTAGGTAAAACAGGGGAACAGTTAGTGTCATTACATATAGCAACATTCCTTCATCATATACTGGTAAAACACCAGGAAGGTGTAGGTAAATCACCCCTCTTAAACATCCTGATGTAGTAAGTAAAACAGAGGGAATATGTAGGTGTATTACCCAAGGAAACACTCCCTACCCCTCAGTCCTACACTAGAATCTATGTACAATAGTATATGTAGGTTACTATGATTCAACAATGTAATTACACTTTAGTCTCACATCATAATGGTAGAGGGATTTACTCTCATACAAATCTTTGACGTACACTAGATTAGTTCTATACATTATCAGGACCTCACTTCCACACAATGTTATATATACATGTAATGCTCCATGTCTACATTATTACCTATGATTTATATCATATACAACACAGGCATCATATAGATAGCATAAACATGTGTTACTTATCACAAGTCATACCACATTCATGTATTACCTATTGTGACCTGATATCACTGATGCACTACTACAGCCACGACCTAATTTCATTATGATTAATTAATACACTAACACCACATGCAAGTATGTATAACAAGAGGTCATATGACATACTTTGTGCATGTATGGGTAACAGCATTAACAATACATACCATAGTGAATATTACAATATGTATGAAATGTTCTGATTCAAATCAAACAATACTTTAAGTACTTTTTGTAAAAAATGATTTGAATTTGATAACTACATGCATACTTTGTAAAAAAGATTATAAACATACCTTTTATTGTATTACTACACCACAATGGAATTGTGAAATGTATAACATTGTTGATATCTCTGAAACACATCACCTAGGGATAGTGAAATGTATAACATTGTTTATATCTCTTAAACACATCACCTAGGGATAGTGAAATGTATAACATTGTTGATATCTCTGAAACACATCACCTAGGGATAGTGAAATGTATAACATTGTTGATATCTCTGAAACACATCACCTAGGGATAGTGAAATGTGTAACATTGTTGATATCTCTGAAACACATCACCTAGGGATAGTGAAATGTGTAACATTGTTGATATCTCTGACACACATCACCTAGGGATAGTGAAATGTATAACATTGTTGATATCTCTGACACACATCACCTAGGGATAGTGAAATGTATAACATTGTTGATATCTCTGAAACACATCACCTAGGGATAGTGAAATGTGTAACATTGTTGATATCTCTGACACACATCACCTAGGGATAGTGAAATGTATAACAGTGTTGATATCTCTGACACACATCACCTAGGGATAGTGAAATGACTATAACGTTATTAATATTTCTAGTACAAATCACTGGAGGAAAGTGAAATATGTAACATTGTCGACATGTCTTACACACATCATTTAGGCATAGTCAAATGTACAACAATGTTTTATCAGAATTATCATTAGTTGACACTTTTAATGCATTTCTCAGTTCAATAGCATCAGTTTCCTTAATTTTTTTATGGCATGAAAATTCAAGAATCTTAGTACATTTTGACTGCTGTAAGATTTTTGTTAAACATGATAAGTGATATGAATCCATATTAATTACAAATCATGACCTTTAAACAGGAGTAAGACTGTATCACATTAAGCCTAAAATGTTTATTACATTGAGGCAACATAACAAATAACATATTACACAGAGTAACAATCAACAGTGATATACAGCACACACCTCAACATCAATTCAAAACAATGTTAATGTCTATATTGCACATAATCCAGTACCACTAACACACTTCCTGTGAAGTCCTCTATCACACATCTCTACTAGTACTAAGCATTCTCACTTGGTGTTAATTGTGGGTGCCTTGATATTCACACACATCTCGCTTAGGTGTACATGTATGAACTACTTTAAAGCAATCCCTTGAAAACATTTACAACATTTTCTAAATACCACTTCAGGGTAGATTTAGTAAAATGATAAATCTGGTTACATAAATGACTTTGTTTATTCAATGCATTGATTCTGCTAATATGCAGGTTAAGCTCCAGGCAACCTGTGAATTCAACATCTTGCCATCATTATATAGTGGTTGGTAAAATGTAACTTTAAAACCATGATCATATGTTATCTCCTTGTCTCTATTATTCTATATTTGATAATAATAACCTTTGTATTTAGTAACCATCAAGAACTTGAATACATGTTATATGATTATCACCCTTGTATTTGGTTAACCAATGTTAGATAATTACCTCCCTTGTATTTGGTTAACCAATGTTAGATAATTATCTCCCTTGTATTTGGTTAACCAATGTTAGATAATTACCTCCCTTGTATTTGGTTAACCAATGTTAGATAATTATCTCCCTTGTATTTGGTTAACCAATGTTAGATAATTACCTCCCTTGTATTTGGTTAACCAATGTTAGATAATTATCTCCCTTGTATTTGGTTAACTTATGTTAGATAATTACCTCCTGTATTTAGTAACCTGGAAGATCTGAATATATGATATATAATTATCTCTTTTGTGTTTTGTTAACACTTCCCTTAATGATCTGGATATATGTTATATAGTTATCTCCCTTGTATTTAGTTAACCTATGTTAGATAATTATCTCCTTTGAATTTGTTTACCCTGAAAATCTGGATATAGGGTATGTAATTATCTTCCTTTGTACTTGATTAACTTTAAGAATGAAATATTGAGAATGAACTTAACTGCCAAACTTACAACTTGCCATTTTTGTCGGGTTAAACCTAACCTGTAATAGGTGAACTTTTAGGGCTGTAAATATATATAGTTACCTCCCTTGCATTCATCAAATAAAATATCGCTGTGATGATATGCAGTCTGCCTATACAACTAACCTATCATTTCTAAATGTAAAATCATTAGGTTAAACCAAATAAAGATACCATAGAAATTCTGTAAGACACACAAAATGGAACGACACCTGCCATAAACTGCTGACTATACACAGTAAAATGGTTCACCTTACACTCAATAACACTACCATCTCATATTATCTATTCTGTCCAGTATTTGTTATATAACTTTAGCTTAATGTCAGTTTTATAGACAATAACGTCTACATGAATGTTACAGTGAATAATAACATATACATAAAAACAAAGAATCAACAATATATTGGAGGTGGGTTTTCCATCGCATAAACAGCGTAGCCAGTATCAGATAATGTCAAAGGTTTATTATATATTGATAAAGTCAAATATAACTATACATAGCATATTATATATTAGTAAAATGACATTATATGTATATGATAATGGTAAAGACAGATCTATTTCTCTCTTATTTGTGGAAGTAAAAGCAGATCTCATATAGAAAAAATAACCAAATCAATGCACATACCTCTTCCCTATGTAGAAAGACAAAAATAATGAAAAATGAAAAAGTAGAAATTCCATTGTGAGCGTTGAGGCACACTGACTGCCCATTCTCATCAGGTACATTCTTCAGGCCACTCCTACCTATCATTGATAATGTGGTGATACAGAGACATTAATCATCATCTAGGTTGTGGCGAGAATGGGCACTTGGTGAGAATAGGTTGGCAAACACTGACATAATTCTCAACGCAATATCGCTTCATACCCTACATCTATTGGCTTATTGGGGTACTTTAAAACCCTAGCCCCTGAACTAAGGTAACTTATCCCAGTACACTTAACTCATAACCGAACTTGGCCAACTTATTCTAGTACCCTGTGATCCTTCATCACCTTTTAAGGTAAATTTTGCTGGTACACATGAATCGAATGATCCATTCCTCAAAACACATTCTCAGGCAGACCACATCTGAGGTACATGTTTTAGGTCTACCTTGTATAACTTGGTAGTCCTCACTCTGACATTCACAATCTGGGATATCTCTCTTACACATATCAAGTTGTCTTATACTTCTGTACCCAAGGTGAGTTTGAGGTCACAACTGGTCAGTTTGTAAAAGAGATTACTGGTCAGTTATCACTGCCAGGACTGGCCTTGTCCACTTCATTGATGTGGTCAATCTCTATACGATACTGGTATTTGGCAATGTAGCGAACCCACTTGTCTGGAGGATTGGGGTTCTCCACAGAGATGGAGCGGACCTGAGACTGAGACACTGTACATGAGGGCATTGTAAACTCCACTTCCGCATGTGATTCAAAATTATCTGGAATTTCATCATGTGGTCCGAACTCCAAAGTCATTCTAAACAGGTGACTCTTGTATGCTCCTGAAAAAAGTGAAAAAAGAGGAATTAGCTTCATAAACAGAGAGATGTGTATCACAAGATAAACTACTCATTTAATTTGTTTAACCCTTTTTCTGCTTCAGTCATTGCCATGTCTCTTACTTAGCTACTGCATTTTATAGGGTACAAATGTTTCATGGAAGTATAATATTACATCATCATACTTTGTCAAATTGGTCTATAATACCAAAATACAAGACAAAGGATAATCCAGGTTTCTTGGAGTATTACCATCATCTCTCCTTCCACTGAGGCATATATAGAGAAGTTCAAGTACTTTCCCTCTCTTAAGAGAAGTTCATTATGTAGAAGTTCTTGTGCTACCCTCTCTATGGAGAAGTCCAATTCCATCCCTCGCATAGAGAAGTTCTGCTATGGACACTGACTAGAGACGAGTTCTGCTACTATCTCTCTCTACTGAAAAGTTTTGCTTCATCCCTCTCCAGAGGGAAGTTCTGCTATTGTCCCTCTCTAAAGAGCAGTTCTATTGCTATCCCAAGGACACCGTGGTATTTGAGGAAAAAAACAGCTTCATCTCAACAAAAGCTATTTCTATATATCTCCTTTTTTTGGAGTAATTCCTACAGAAGAAGAATTTTAAAGAATCTCCAAGTTCTTTTGAGCCCCACACCTCAAGGCCCAAGGGTCATAGTTCACATGGTCCTTTGGGCTAGTGCAGCAAGAAAGGATAGGGTATTTATTAGAACAAAATAAAAACCCTATCCATTTTTGCTGCACTAGCCCAAGTAATTTTACTGTTCTTTGGTAACTGCAAGTTACATAAGTTACAGAAGAGGCATACAACTCTCTCCCCTGAAACTCCCCATTGCTGCTCATGTTGGAGTTGCACTCATTACAGATCTGATGGTGTAAGTGTGGCAACTTAATAGAATTCATAAATTATGTATGAAATGTAAGGTCTTATAATTAAAATTTTCAAAATTATTTTCTAGTATGCTTCACACTGGTAAATTGTCTGATGAAGGTGGCTGTGTAGTTATCAAAACATCAAAATGAAATCTTCTACTAGTTGTGTTATAAGAACTTCTATTCTAATAACTAAGATTTTTTCCTTTCTACTGTACCTTCATTTCTCTCTGGGAGTCGGGAGATCCTCCACACTACAGCCTTGTACAGGTGTTCGTACTTAGCTACGCCTACATCAGCCTCCATCAGTGTTGGTGTCAGCAGTCCCTGGGCAATCATTGTGATCCGCTCCAAGCCCTTGATTTTACCTGGCTTGCGAGTTGCTGACTTAAATGCACCATAACCAAACCGTTTTTCATAACGAAATAGGTACACCCATTGCTCCGGAATAGGAAAGCGAATCTCAATGTCCTCACAAGGAAATTGTCCATGCTTTTTACTGAAGGAGTGATAGCCAGTTACAAGTATGTCACAACGGATTTCTACCTTCGATTCCTTTAAAATTTGTTGAACTTTGAGCTGTAAAGGCAATTCTTTGTTTTCACGTAGACGAACACGATATCGTAACAGTTCAAACTGACAAGCATCCAAAGGATGAAATTTTATATTATTTGTTTTTTCAAACTCATTTTGATCAACACAGCAATGAAACTGCACGTCCTCCAGACGAATCCACTCCTCTGTCTTTATGGGGATGATGTCATGACGACCTACTACCTCCTTGCCTCGCCTCCGTTTGTCATTTAATCCAAGTTCACATGTTGGCATGCCAGTGACAAAGGCAAGAAAGAAAGCCCTCACACGTGCCTTCTGAGTTATAATCCTGCCCTGTTTGTCCAATTCTGCTTTATATTCATCCCACACTTCAGCACAGGCCTCATCCTTGATATAAGTAAGTGTCTTTTCACGCCGAGCCTCCATGTTCATTAATGCATTCTCCACTTCACGTACAAATGATGAGATTTCCTCTTTATCTAAACTGCCAAATTTGAGCATTTCAGATACCTGTGGAGCATGAGCAAGAATCATAGTAGCCTTTGGCTTCTTTACAAAGGCTGGTGTGATCCTCTCAGCACGCAGACCGACCCGCTCTCTATAGAAGATGTACTGGACCTTAACTGTGTAGATTTTTCCATACTGATCATACTGTTGGAGAGACACCTCAGATATGGAGTAGCAGGGTTGGAGAATCAGTTCAGTAAAAGCATCTGAGTCATCCTTTTCTTGGTACACTTTCAGGACAGGCCCATCCTTCTGCTTCACTAGCTTCACATATACCTGCTTCCAGAATCGGTTTGTGGTAAGCTTCTTTTTAGTGGGTTGCCTCAGCATCAGACTCCAGACGTCTTGGTCTGTATTGGGATAGAAAGGATCCAGGGGAGGAAGAGCTGCAAGCTCCTCTTCTGGAGTATTGTCCTCTGTTGAGAAGCTTGGCAGACTTTCCAAATTGCTGTCCTTCTCTCGAGGAGTATCATCCCCACCACGAATCTCAAATTCAGCAAAGTTCTCCTCAGGAGGAGAGTCCCTGTTAAAGGGGTTTTCCCTTGGGGGCTGGGGAGACCGCGGGGGTCTGGGAGGGGGTTTAAGTGCTGGTGGGGGTTCAGATGACCTAATTGATCCCAAGCTGTTTGGTTTCACTGGTTTTATCTCTAGCATAAATGTATTATCTTCCTCATCATCATCAGGCTGGACCAGCTGATCCTCACCAGAGGTTGCCACTGCGGTAAATGCGTCCTCAGAAGCTCCCTCCTCTGGTACAATTTGGTCAAATTGATTCTCCTCTGCCCTCTGGGCAGACATTCCAAAAGGATCAAAATCATCAAGTGTTGGGGATTTGACAGTCTGTGGGCCTTTTTCTGCAGAAGCATTACCAAGTAGAAAGCTGTCTATGTCAGAGAGCTCAGTCTTAGTGGTTGGTGCAGTATCGTCTAAGAATGGGTTAGCATTTGACATTGTGGGAACTGTTGAGAAAACAGCAGTTGGATCATCCTGAAGAAAAGGGTTATTGCTAGTACTGGTGGAAAAGCTGTCTGAAGCTTCTCCTGGAAAATCTGATTTAGTATCTGGAATTTTGTCAATTGAGAAGAAATCTTCCTGAAATGGATTAATGCTTTGACCTACATTTTCAGAGGAAGCATTTCCCCAGATGTTTGAAAATGCATCCTGAGAATATTGGGGCTGAGAAGCACCTTTGGTTTCAAAGAAGTTGTCATCAAATAGGTCAGAGTTCACTGGTGGCTGCTCACCAATGTCTGATGTAAGGAATGGATTGTTGGCAGCTGTCACATCACTTGGAGGCTCTGGAGGGTCTCCGCCATCCTGTTCATCAACTTGGGGATCTTTGGAAGGGTCTGTGACACCAAATCCTAAATTATCATACACTTCCACTGGCATTATATGGGAAAATCCCTCCTTAATCTCTGTGCTATCATTTTCTGTACCCTCAAATCCCTGAAGGAAATCAGCAGAGGTACTGACCTCTGTAGGGACAACAGCTGGAGGAAGTAAGTCTTCACCTAACTGACTAAAGGCATCAAAATGTGAGGAAGCAGCCTCATCTGACAGATTCACACTTCCTCCAAATGCCTGACTGAAGTCTATAGGTAATGGGGCAGGAAACTGTTTGTCTGCTGGTGGCACAATATCGGATTCAGTTTGATGGAGAAAGTTTTGCGATGTTGGTGGGAGAATTTCAGAACTTTGTGACAGGACATCTGTGGTAGGTTGTGGCAAAACCTCTCTATTTGTAGGTGGGAGAGGTGCTTTCTCTTTCACCTTTTTAGCAGAAAATGGATCAAGGGAAGCAATAATGTTTGACTTTGGTTTGTCCCCAGAAGAATCAAATGGATTCAGATCAGCTTGAGAAACTTCCTTCATTGTGTCCAGCTGTAGAAACTCATCAACCATGCTGCTAACAAAAGTTGAAGAAAGTGTTCCCATTGGGATTCGCTGGTCATCCTCCCAAGGGTCAAAACCCAATGGGGTTGATCTTTGAGAAGACCTTTCACTATGGGAAACTGTTCCAAACACCATGTCGGAGCCATCAAAACTGCTACACATGCTGCTGCCATGCTGTGACTCGCCTGTTGATGACAGAATGTTATCAAGACCAAGCAAATCCTGATTCATTAAGTAGGTTGAGTCAGCAGGAGCCTGGTCAGTGTCTGTGGGGTCACTGGTCAGTCCGAGAAGGTCCGCCACCTCATCCTTACTCCCTACAGGGTCATCACCCATAAGGTTTTCCATGCTGGTGCGAAGACTGTTGGCAGGGGGACAGGGTGTTCCTCTTGGTGAGGGGGTCGGTGTGACTTTGAGGTTTGGGAAGTTTGCTACACTGAGCTCAGAGTTCTGATCAGACGATTTTTCTTTATTAACACCATGTGGACTTGGAGGAATTAAGGAAGAAGTGTCATCAAAACTTGACCAGAAAGATTCATCAAGTTTCTGGCGCTTTTCGTTGTTGATATTATTACCAGTGGAAGTCTCTGAGTTATCGGATGACAATTTATTTAAACTAGTCTGAGTCTTTAGAACATTTTGTTTAATTCTATCTTGCATTTGCTGGAAGGCTTGCCAGTCATCTGATTTTTTATCGACAGCATCCTTGTCTGGAACATCTTTCACGTCATCAAGGAAAGTGTCTTTAAACGTTTCTTTGAGGGGATCTTTATGAGCATCTTTACTGGGCAGTTTACTTGACTTGGATTTGAAAGGTGACTTGAGAGGAGATTTAAGAGGTGATTTGAGAGGAGATCTAAATGGTGACTTGGCACGTTTCTTTATAAATCCAAATCCTTTCGATTTATCATGAGACTCAGATTTGTCTGAAGGATGAGCATCAACAGTAAGTTTACTGAAGTCTTCTGTGGTTGTTGGGGAAGTTACATCTACAAGGTTGGAGGACTCATCAAAGCTGGCAGACATCGCTATGCTGGGATCTGTAACAGATAAATATACATAAAATAAATCTACCTCTAAACAACTTTATGTAACAGATAAAGATGAAATTACATAAATAAATCTTACCCTGAATAATTTTATATAACACAGACATAAATATATATAAATAAATCTAACCCTGAATAATTTTATATAACACAGACATAAATATATACAAGAGATCCCAGAGGGATCTTGGCGCCCACCATTTGAGGATCTGTTTTCAGTTCTTGATGATTTGTTTATTTTTTTTTTGTGTGTTACAGGTGTTGTAAATGTTCATGAACTGGTCTTCATTGAATGTACTCAATGATGGCAAAAGATATTTTTATTAAGCACCTATTAGCAAATATCATTTGAAAAAGATCCCAAAGTATTATTAGATAGCAGTCAGTTACAGGTGGATAATGGACAATATGCTTGTGCTGTATTACTGTCAACATCCAAGATGGCTGCCTGTGGGCCACCTTGATTTCAAATCAGTCCAAAAAAGGTACAATGCACAACTAGGGACCAAGGGAAACCAATATCTATGAAATATCAGAAGGATCCATCCAGTACTTCCTCAGATATAGCAGTAACAAGATTTTACATTCAAAATCCAAAATGGCCATCTGTCTGCCATCTTGAATTCGAATCAGTCCAAAAAAGGTACAATGCACAACTAGGGACCAAGGGGAACCTGCATATGAAATTTGAGAAAGATCCATCCAGTACTTTCCAAGAAATAGCGGTAACAAAGTTTTACATCCAAAATCCAAGATGGCCACCTGTCTGCCATCTTGAATTCGAATCAGTCCAAAAAAGGTACAATGCACAACTAGGGACCAAGGGGAAACTGCATATGAAATTTGAGGAAGATCCATCCAGTACTTTCTCAGAAATAGCGGTAACAAACTTTTACTTCCAAAATCCAAGATGGCCACCTGTCGGCCATCTTGAATTTGAATCAGTCCAAAAAAGGTACAATGCACAACTAGGTACCAAGGGGAAACTGTAGATGAAATTTGAGAAAGATCCATCCAGTACTTTTCCAGAAATAGCGGTAACAAACTTTTACTTCCAAAATCCAAGATGGCCACCTGTCGGCCATCTTGAATGCGAATCAGTTCAAAAAAGGTACAATGCACAACTAGGGACCAAGGGGAACCTGCATATGAAATTTGAAAAAGATCCATCTAGTACTTTTCCAGAAATAGCGGTAACAAGAATTGTTTACGGACGGACGGACGGACGGCCGGACGGCGCGACGGACCACGGACGTAGGGCGATTTGAATAACCCACCATCTATTTGAATAGATGGTGGGCTAATAAATAAATCTTACCCTCAATAAATTTATATAACACAGACATATATATATATTAAAAAATCTTACCCTGAATATATTTATATAACACATAGAGATAAATATACATAAATAAATCTGACCCTGTTTAACTTTATGTAACAAATATAGATGAATATATGTAAATAAAATATTTTCAGTTATGAAAGTTATACAGGTCAATACCCCAAAACAGGTTGAAATATATCAATAAACATCAGATCCCATTTGCTGTAAAATGTGGTGTGGTTAAATGAAAAGCATTTGGGGACTGGAAAATATGTTTGATTTGAAATGAAAAATAACTTCTCTGCAGAGCATTGCAACAGGATTCAAACCAGAGTCTTAGACACCATACCAGAGAAACATTCTCTGTCAGGTGAGTGACAGAGGTCATAATTTACAATGTATAAGCCACATCAACCATGTACTTCAACATATAAATACAATGTTTTGATACTTTGTACATAACAAGTTCCCAGTTTTTTCACTGAGATATGTAACATATACTGATATACTAAACAAATTAGTTCAATCAAGAACCGATGACCTGTAGATGTATATCATACAAAGGTACAGGGGACATAACTCAGGTTTCCCAGCTTTTATAGATACCAGTACAGGTCAGTATATCAGACTTAACCACAAAAACACAATACCAGGATACACCTCTGACAAAATATTATCAGATGCAAATCAAATTTGTAACACAACTATCAAAGGTTAAAGTGATCACATGCCAGGTTGAAGAATCAGTAACTCCCAATGCAGAAAAGTACCAACAGGAAATTGTGTATCTATTGAACTTTCAAATGGACAGATATATACACATATCCTACCTGTCACCTAACCTTTCATATCTACCATAAATGGAAGCAACAGGCAGAAGAATGCAATAACGTTAGCTTTATTATCCCTAGAAGATCTGACAATGGAATTAGAAACGGTAATCACATCCTAACAGAGTGTGGAGAAGGCATGCCATCAAAAGGCAGTGACAGGGACCTGATGTATGGGAAGCCCATTGACAAACCCTGAAATAGCATCTGGCCTCTTTGACTATAAGTACGGTAAAGAATCAATACCACAAGTGGCAGGCACAAATACAGCACACTTCTACATAACAGGCCTTCATTTACTCGTAGCTCCACTACTAACTATTACAGGTCCTTCATTTACTCGTAGCTCCACAACTAACTATTACAGGTCCTTCATTGTACAAACAGCTATTCCCTTTACCACTGTACAAACAGTTTCTCCATTTGTAACTGTACAAACAGCTATTCCCTTTACCACTGTACAAACAGTTTCTCCATTTGTGCTTGTACAAACAGCTATTCCCTTTACCACTGTACAAACAGGCTCTCCATTTGTAACTGTACAAACAGCTATTCTCTTTACCACTGTACAAACAGATTCTCCATTTGTAACTGTACAAATAGCTATTCCCTTTACCACTGTACAAACAGGTTCTCCATTTGTAACTGTACAAACAGGTCACCCATTTAACATTGTACAAACAGCTATTCCCTTCAACACTGTACAAACAGGTTTTCCATTTGTAACTGTACAAACAGATATTCCCTTTACCATTGTACAAACATTTTCTCCATTTGCTACTTTACAAAAAGGCCCTCTATTTACTACTGCACAAAAATATCACTCATTTACTACTGTACAAACAGATCACTCCTTTCCTACTGTACAAACAGGTCGCTCATTAACTACTGTACAAACAGATCACTCCTTTCCTACTGTACAAACAGGTCACTCATTTACTGCTGTACAAACAGGTCACTCAGGTACTACTGTACAAACAGGTCACTCATTAACTACTGTACAAACAGGTCACTCATTAACTACTGTAAAAACAGGTCACTCATTAACTACTGTAAAAACAGGTCACTCATTAACTACTCTACAAACTTGTCATCCAATTAATACTGTATAAACATGTCACTCATTTACTACTGTACAAACAGGTCACTCATTTCCTTCTGTATAAACACATCACTCATTTCCTACTGTACAAACAGATCACTCATTTCCTACTGTATAAACACATCACTCATTTCCTACTGTATAAACACATCACTCATTTCCTACTGTACACACAGGTCACTCATTTCCTACTGTATAAACAGGTCACTCATTTCCAACTGTATAAACACATCACTCATTTCCTACTGTACAAACAGATCACTCATTTCCTACTGTACAAACAGGTCACTCATTAACAGGTCACTCATTTCCTACTGTACAAACAGGTCACTCAGGTACTACTGTATAAACACATCACTCATTTCCTACTGTATAAACACATCACTCATTTCCTACTGTACAAACAGATCACTCATTTCCTACTGTACAAACAGGTCACTCATTTCCTACTGTATAAACAGGTCACTCATTTCCTACTGTATAAACAGATCACTCATTTCCTACTGTATAAACACATCACTCATTTCCTACTGTATAAACAGATCACTCATTTCCTACTGTACAAACAGGTCACTCATTTCCTACTGTACAAACAGGTCACTCAGGTACTACTGTATAAACACATCACTCATTTCCTACTGTATAAACAGATCACTCATTTCCTACTGTATAAACACATCACTCATTTCCTACTGTATAAACACATCACTCATTTCCTACTGTACAAACAGGTCACTCATTTCCTACTGTACAAACAGGTCACTCATTTACTAATGTATAAACAGGTCACTCATTTCCTATTGTATAAACACATCACTCATTTCCTAATGTATAAACACATCACTCATTTCCTACTGTATAAACACATCACTCATTTCCTACTGTATAAACACATCACTCATTTCCTACTGTATAAACACATCACTCATTTCCTACTGTATAAACACATCACTCATTTCCTACTGTACAAACAGATCACTCATTTCCTACTGTACAAACAGGTCACTCATTTCCTACTGTACAAACAGGTCACTCATTTCCTACTGTATAAACACATCACTCATTTCCTACTGTACAAACAGGTCACTCATTTCCTACTGTATAAACAGGTCACTCATTTCCTACTGTATAAACACATCACTCATTTCCTACTGTACAAACAGATCACTCATTTCCTACTGTATAAACACATCACTCATTTACTACTGTACAAACACATCACTCATTTCTTACTGTACAAACAGGTCACTCATTTACTACTGTACAAACAGGTCACTCCTGTACCACTGTACAAACAGGTCACTCATTTACTACTGTACAAACAGGTCACTCATGTACCACTGTACAAACAGGTCACTCATTTCCTACTGTACAAACAGGTCACTCATGTACCACTGTACAAACAGGTCACTCATGTACCACTGTACAAACAGGTCACTCATTTACTACTGTACAGACAGGTCACTCATTTCCTACTGCACAGACAGGTCACTCATTTACTACTGTGCAAACAGGTCACTCATGTACTACTGTACAAACAGGTCACTCATTAACTACTGTACAAACAGGTCACTCATTTCCTACTGTAAAAACAGGTCACTCATTAACTACTCTACAAACTTGTCATCCAATTAATACTGTATAAACACGTCACTCATTTCCTACTGTACAAACAGGTCACTCATTTCCTACTGTACAAACAGGTCACTCATGTACCACTGTACAAACAGGT